CAAATTTAATTAAAATACGACCATCAGATTCTTTATATTATTTTTATAATATAGTTTCAATTGATGGATCCAAATTCTCTTCAATATCTTAAATCAAAATAGGATATCCATTAGTAATACATAATCTCATATCAGATTAAAATTTTGGATCTGAAAATTTAACAACTTTTAATTTAAGAGCAGAAAAAGAACTCTTAATCCAATTATTAGCTTATTATTGTGGATCAATCATTAAAGGCCATCTATATCCTTAAGTAGCAAGAATAGAATTCTCCTAAGAAACAGAATCACTTGGTAATTTATTAATTGTCCAATCTCTCAATTATAATGGATCACCAAGTGTACCAACTAATGTAAATTTCTCAGATACAGGAATTTATGCTTCTCTAACCTTTTCTGTCCAATGATTAATTAATTCATTTCTATACGGTCCTGTAAATGGTCCATTATATGAAATAGATGCAGCTGCCAAAAATACATCACCTATTAAATTGATTATAGCAATTCCTAATTCTTCAACTGTTCTTGCCCATCTTTCAGCCTCTGATGCTGTCAAACTAATTAATTTCTATGCTCTATCTAATCTAGCTTCAGTTAATTCTTTTAAGTTTTCAAGATCTTGCTTCTTTTATGCCATTTCTGCTGTCTCCTACTATAATTTCTTAACTGCCTATTTAACTTTTAAAAGTTCTCCTTCCTTAACTGCTAATTCTTTATTTGCCTAATCTAATATTGCCATCATTTCTGCCACCTTCTTTTTCTTTGGTTCTACTTTCTTACTTACATTTGCATATGTATTCATAGCTATACACCATGATGCCATATCTGCAGCAGGTTTAGCCTTTGTTCTTATTAAATCAGGTACAAAGTCATCTCTTGAAATTATTTTTTTTAAATTATTAAGAATTTTCTCAGGAATATTATCTCTTGGATAATTTTTCAACTAACTTACAAATGATCCCACATCAATCATTGCCTTTTTAGCAGAATCCCAACTAGTATTTTAACCTAATAAAGTTAATACTGCCTCCAAAACCATTACCACTGCTTAAGGTGGATTATTATATGTTCTTACAATCTTTATTTCATTTTCATCCATCTATTCTACTGCTTTTAATGCCTTTTCTAATTCTGGCATTACTACATCCAAATCAGCTTAAGCATCATCTGCTATTATTTTTACATCCTAAGCTTTCTTATTCACTTCTTCTGTTTCAGCCTTTACTAATTATTCCTATTAACTGGCAAGGTATGAATCTTAATTAACTTTTTCAAGAGCCTATTAAACCTTTATTGATGATTCTTCCAATTATGGTTTTAGATCAGTTAATGTAACTTATAAACCTGCTACTTATTCATTAGCCATTTTCAATTTTACTAATCCTCCTGATAGTCTCTTTTATTTTAATTATAATTCTTCTCTTTTTCTTTTTAAACTAGTTAAATATAATCCTATCAAATCCAAATAACTCTTTGGAGTTGTATATACCTTTCTTTTAAGAGCAGCTTCAAATTTATCAGCACAATCTTTAGCTGATATATGAATTTCCATACACATTTATGCCAAACTATCAATAAGTTATTTCTATGGTATATCTGTCTATGGAAAATCTGTTTCTTGTTATAAGATTTTTGTTGCCACAGATACCAATGCCTCTGCTGGCCAACTTGAAAACCAATCTAAAGTACAACAATCAACCATTGCAGGGAATTTACGACATCTAACTCTTAATGCATCTCCAACTGGTGACATACACAATACTATGTGCAATTGATTTCGAACACTTTCTACAAAAGTCTTATAAAGTGTATCAGGATCCTCAGGTCTCTTTAATCTTGCATTTATTTTCTTTACTTCTTCAAGTAATGGTTACTTTTCTTCAGGTTTCCAAATATTTGGTACTTCTCCTGAATTCAAAATATTATTTATATCTTCAAGAAAACTCTCATATACAATTTAAGAATCAGTAAATAAAAAGCATAATGGTTTCTCTTACAAACCTGAAATTTAGAATATCTTCTTTAAAAATTCTTAAAAGTTATCTACTGAAAAATTTTTTGTTATCTCTAAAGATTATGTTTATTGATTCTACATAAATGCTGATAATCTTGTTAATGATTATTTTCCTGATCCTCCAACACCAATCAACATAGCATTTCCTCTTGGTTATCTGAGTATTCTAGATATTCTCAAAATATGATCAATAGCATCTCCAAAAAATACTAATCTTGTCTTAGAATTACATTCTGTATTATAATCATCCAACTTATCCTCCAATATCTTAACTAACTTTACAAGATCTTTGATTTCTTCGTATTCTCTATTATCTGAATCAATCTTTAAAATATCTCCATATAAAACTTTACTTGCTCCATAAACATCATCCTTAGTTATTCTAGATTTAAATTGCCTTCCTAATAAATCTCCGACAAGTTCTTTGAACCAATCACGATCAATATCATTAATTAATCTATCATAAAATACTCTACTAACTTCATGTACCCATAGACGAGTAACTTGATCAACTTCTCTAACTAATCCAGGTTTGACCATCAAAATACCTTAGAAAACTTTGCTAACATCTCTTAAATTAAAAGTATAATGAAATTTAGATGGTATTGGCAATTTTTCTTTAATAATTCTAACATAAATTTCAATGGTTGCATTTGTGATGGTATCTGACATTTTTTTGACAGGATCAGTAAATCCTTATCCAAAGAATCCATTTAGAATGCTAAAAAAGATTTTGAAAAGAGTAGCCTAAGCAGGTTATGGTAAAGAGAGCATATTAAAATGCCTAGTGAATCTAGGAGTAAGTGGATTACGACCACCACCAGGTGGAGCACTACAACAGAGTAAGGTAACATTTTCAATGAATTTTTAGAATCGTTCTTTTCTATCATAAAGAAATCCTTTATCAACTAATAATCTAAGTAATTCAATAGGAGGTTATGCTCCATATTCTTCTAGTTATGGCATATTAACATCATCAATAAAAATACATGTTTGTCGACCAGGTTTAGCTGTTAGTAATGCTTTTCTAGTTTTTTCAAGTTTATTTTCTATAGTCATTTAAGTAACCATAGAAGTTGTTTAAGCTGAAAAGATAATATAAACTGGATCAATAGATCTAGGTTCTTATATTTAAACTAATAATTTAGCCAAGACTTGACTCTTGCCAGTTCCAGTAGGTCCAGTTAAATAGACTCTTTTATTAATTGATAACAATTATTCAATGATGTAAGAATATCTAACAGTATCTACAGTAGGAACTAACATATTGAAAAACTATTCAGTTGGATCATAGGTAAATTCTTCAATCTTATCATTCCAATGTTTGAAAGACAATTCATTAGATGTATCTAAATAATAAGAATAGACTTAATCAACATTAGGAAAGATGATACTCTAGAAGCGATCTCTGAAGAAATCACTCATATCTTCATGATGTTTATCATCAATAGAGGCACCTACTGACCAAATACATCCAAATGTAAAAGCATATAAGATGAATCTTTTTCTAGAATCAGCAGTCATGGTTGCTTTGAATCCATATTTTTCATTGATAAAAGCTTCCAATAGATTACAAAGAGAGACAACTTATTGAGTATCATTAGTTCCAATAGTTTCTTTAAATGTTTTTCTGACTTTAGTAATAACATCATTGACATACTCTTCAAACAATGAAAGTAAATATTTTCTTTCATTTGGTTAGAGTATTTCAACATTAAGTGTATTTCCATTTAATTGTATTTCTTTTGGACCAAATTCACATTCAACCCAAGATTAAACAAATGGTAACCATCCTAAATCTTCTTATGTTAAATAAACCATACCACATCTACTGACTGTAGCAGGAGATGCAACTCTTAAATCTTACACTTCAAATAACATTCTCATTTAAGTTCTCAATTTAATACGTTAACCATTAGCTAAACAAAGCATCATATTATCATCTAAGACTGTATTCATATTTTCAATCCATAATGCATCGACAGGGCCATCAAATACTACCCATTTTTTTTCATTAGTTTCATCTGATGCTGCTTCTCTCATGATCTAAGATGCCAAACCATCTTACCATTCTTGAGTAAATACATTTACTTCACCATATAATTCACCCATAGAAATACATTTTGGATTTAGAACATAGGTTGTAACTAATTAATATCTTTAATCTTGATGATTCAATCTTCTTAAATCACTCATTGTCATTTCTAAACATTTGTAACATGAAGTCTTTCCAGAATTTGTATTACCAACCAACATTACACCAAATCTAACATTAAATGTCTCAAATAGTTGAATAGTTTTTGTTATTAAATTAGGTACTCTTTATAATTTCATTTTATCCAAAGATATCTCTATTTATTTTTATAAATCTCCATAATCTACTTCTTTGATTATGGCAGTGGGGAACAAATCACTTATTAAAGCTGAAAATAATGGTAAATCATCTTTTAAGAATTTAGGTACATTACTATCTCTCATAGCTCTAATGAGAACAGCATCTTCTGGTTAATTGATATCTGCTCTTTTTAAAGCTCCTGCCATAACTAACACAGATTTGACTGCTCTCATACCAAAATCATAATGATCCTACTAACTTAATTATTAAGAACTTAATTGATATAATTGTGTCATCTTCTAAGATAATGATTTTGCATCTTCAAATCCTTCTGCTTAAAGCATAATTTCAGCAATTAATTTATAATCAGGAATCATCATAGACACTGGTCTAAATAATACTTTTAAATTATCTGGTAATTCAGTTCTACCTGCATATCCAGGATTCATAGTAATAAATACTCCAACTTCTTCCTTTAAATTTATTGGTTTATCTGGATTCACAAATATAAACTATTAATCTTTTCTTATTAATGCTTATCTCACTGTTAATAATTATTAAGCTATGACACTTAGTACTTCAATATCAATACGATTAAACTCATCTAAACAAGCCCAAGCTCCTTACTATACTAAACCACTAAATAAACGACCCATCATTTTATATTCTATTTAATCTGAACAATTGAACACTACACAAAACATACCTAAAGCTTTAGCTAAATCCTTAGTTGATTCTGTCTTACCTGTACCTGCTGGTCCAGCTGGAGCTGCTCCTAATTTTATATTCAAAGCTCCAGTAATTGTCATCCAACATCTATCTGTCAAATTTGTTATAACCAATCTAGTTGTTGCTCCCAAATATTCATATCCATAATTCAATTTTGCATTTACCTATCTCACTATTATTAAATCATTCTCATCCATATAATATCTTAATTATTGTTACCATGAAAATTCACTGATCGAACTCACATTCTCATCTGTCAATGCATCCACTATATCTCGAGCATGAACATCTTGAGTAATCAAAGCTACAATCACCTTATGTTAAAGTGGAGTTAATGTACCTCTCACCAATGCAGTTAATCCATTTAATGATTCATATAATAAATTATAATGTTTTGATAATGCTGTTGAATCATCACCCATACTATTTATTGCTTATTCTGTATCATATGTCCAAATAAGATTGGATATCGTAGCTACAACCTATGCTGGTTAATTTAATAACCAATGATTTCTCTCTTAAGTTTCACTTTCTACCTTTCCTTGTTTCATTCTCTTTTTTAATGATTCTATCATCTAATCTTATACTTTCATTAACCATAATTCAACTTCTTCTTTTGTTGAAACTGCTTTTACAAATGGAATCTTTTCTCCTTCTGGTGAAATCATTCCATTTACAGATCTTGCACCTTCTTCTGGTTACTCAAGTCTATATATTGCTTCAAAACATTTCTTTAAATTTCTCTATATTGCATCAAAATCTTATGATTTTGCCAATATTTCCAATAACTCATCATTTGATAAAAAATAAAACCTTGGAAATGACATTCTCTTTTCTTCCAAATATGATTCTAAAGCCTTCTAAATCCTATTTAATGTTTCTTTATATTCTCTAAATTTATCCAATAATCCACTTGCTCTATGAACTTATTTCTAAGAATTTGTTTTCTTCATTATAGCCTTGAATTATTTATCAACATTCTCAAATAATGCATTTTCTTCTTTCAGTTTTGTTTTTATATCTTGACTTGCAAATATGTTTTCCAAATAAATCCAATTTTTTTAAACTTATAACCAATCATCCAATGTTTCTTAAGCAATCAATACATCCTTTTATAACTTTTCAGCTCTCTTTCTCAACATTTTTAAGTATCTACTTCCCAAAATATTATTTAAACTTGCCAAGAAATCATCTAAAGCTGCTTATAATTCATCAATATCAGTAAGTACATACACTTCTTTATTTCTTAGATTCTCTGGCTTATAATTAACACAAGTAAATTCTAAAGCTTTCCACTTCTATTCAATATCATTAAATTAAGCATCTAATACAGCTTCCTAAGTGGCTTAAGTAGCTACCTCTTAGATTTATTCTTAATAAATTCCAACCTTCATATCCATCAAATTTCTTAAAGTGAAAGTTTCAGTTATCTCAAAATCTTATTTTAAAATCTCCTATTTAATCTATACCCAATGATAATCTTTTAAATTTCTATTTCTGAGTGCCAAAACTACAGGCATTGTATCTTTGAATGAAAATACTTTTTCTTTTAATTCATCTAAAACTTAATTGGCTGGTAATCCTTTTGAACATCTATTCACAATTTTAGTATAGTATTCACCTTTTGCTTTAATTTCATCTGTATTAATATCGATAAATTTTCCATCTATCCAAGATTATGTCAATTCAATCCATTCTTTAGTAGATTTCCACATAGAATATCTTAAATTTAAATCATTTCTTAAGTCTTCTAAACTCTAAAATTAAGAAGTAGGTAATCCTAATGTACTTTCATAATGTCTATATTTTTTGGCATCAGTTTCCAATTTTTTACATTGTTCATCACATTCACTTAATTCTTTAATTGCTTATTCTAAACTTAATCCAGCATCTATATATTTTTTATCTTGAATAATTCCATCCAAAGCACCAATCTATTTTTCTAATTAAGGAATAAGGCTATGTTAAACATCTCTTGCAAATCTATCTAATTTAGATTCTGCACCTTCTTCCGCATGATGAATAGCTTATTCTAATAAATTTTGTGCTTGAATTATATCTACAACATAAGCCTATTTATCTTCCTTTTTAACTTCTATTTTGTATTCATCAAGAATATTATAAATATGACCCACAAGTGAGATTTTAGATTTTACTTTATTTAATTGTTTTTGAATTAATTTTAACGAATTACTCTACTTTACAAATTCATCAATATTAGTTGTTGTTCCTTTCAAAGCAGCTGTTGAAGTTTATAACCATTCTTTCAATTCTTTGCATCTGGCTCTTAACATAGGTTAAATAAATTAATCAAACTATTTTAATAATTCAGCTGGCAAAGGTTCCAATTTCTTTTTTAATTCAGCTGAATCAATCTTAAATAATCCTTGCATACTTTCAATAGGAATATCTTTCTAAAATTATTCCTTTTACATATTTAGAACTGCTATTGTATATTAAAATGTATCTCCAGGATGTGCTAATTTTTCATCTTTAAAAATATCAATATTAATTTATTTGTCTTCCCAATAAGTAAGTAAATGTTTATTAAAATATTTTTCAATATATTTATCAGCTCTTTCAAATGCTTTTTCTAAAATATTTTTAACTATTCCTGTAAATGTTTCAAGAGGTGCTGAATCTAACCAATCTGAAGGATTTAAATAATTTGATTCCGGATGTCCCCATTCTTCACCAACCATATCATCCCATTCTTCCAAAACAGCAACATATTATGTCATATCATTATGTCTACTCCATCTTTCAAATGCTTAAATAGCATTCAATCCTTCTCCTATACATTTTACAATATCTGCATGAAAAGTATTAAGTTAAGGTTTTTTAACAATCCAATGCTTTGAAATATTTGGTATTACAATCCTTTTGTATATTTTATTCTCATCATATGTTCCTCCATCTGTCTCATCTTCTTCACTGTCATCTTCAACTTTCCCCTTCTTTCCTCCCTATGGTTTTTCTGCCTATTTTTATTCCTCTGTCTTTTCCTCTTATAAATGTGCATGATATAATATATGAAAATCATCTACAGTACTATTACCAAAAGGTTAAGGTATAAATTCTGGAATGTCTTCAGTTTACATATCCTCTGAAGGCACTTGATCAAATGTACAATCTAACTTAATCACAAATAGAGGTTCTTCAAATCTTATTGGAGGTTTGTTACTTGTTTCAAATGTAACATTAAAATCTTCTATTGATTCTAAAGATTTTAGTTTTACAATCAAATCTCGAACTGATAAAGTATAAATATTGCTAAGACTTTCCATAGCTAAGAAATCAACTAAATATGAGAAACGTAAGAATTTTGAACATTCTTTTCTTAATTATGATCTTTTTTCATAAGTCATACTATCTGGAAATTAAAGAGTTTCATATGCTATTTCTCTAGTTCTAAATACATTAGTTCCAGTATCTCTTGGAGCATTTCCACCAAATTATTCATCATTTTAAGGTACATAATTTTATTTTCTAAGAATATCCAATGATTTATCATATCCACTTTGAACTACCTTTCTACATGCTTGAGAATAAGATCTAATTTTTCCACTTACTTTATTTCTGTATTAATCTTATAACTATTTAAACTATTCTAAAGTAAATGTACTATCACTCATAGTTAATTAATGGGCAGTTTCAAATCCTATGAAACGACAAGTTTCCATCATATCATAAGTGTTTTTTCTTACAGTAAGTAAAGTTTCTCTCATTATTGGATTTAATAAGAAATACTTATCCAGAAGTGCATTCTAAATTGTTTTAGTTTTATGTTTAATGACATTGCTTTTCCACATTTTAAGGGTTTTCCATTTTCTAAATTTGGTAAAGAATTTTAATGATTTAATTTAATGATAGGTTTGCCTTTCTCTTAACCAATTTCTAAGTGGTATGAATTCAGTAGGTTTACCATTTATATAATGACATAATCCTTTTCTTGAAATAGTGTAATACTCTTTGATTTCAGTTTTCTTATCATCTCCTTTAATGGTTTTATAATCTACAACTGCTAACATATAAGGATCATCTTAGCCATCATCTTCTTCTCTTACAAGATAAATGTATTCATCAACACTTGTAGTATTACTGAGAATCAAGTCAATGTATTTATCCAACTTAGATTTAGTTTCTTTTTCAGTAACGCCAAATTCTTCATCATGTGCCAAAGTTTCTTTAAATGGACTTTAAATACGTGGATCAGAATCAAGAGGTTTGAGTTTAAAACGAGATCCAAGTGAACTCATACCAGTTTTTCGCATTAAGTAGTTACGTTCCTCTTCTGGCATTATGGCCAAGTATTTTTAATCTATTTAGAACTTACCAGATAATTTATCTACAAGGTACTTAGTTCTATAGAGCTCATCAACATTTTATTTGAAGGTTGTTCCCATGGTCATTCGGAGTGGGTCTAACTTTTATTTACTTTATTGAGCAACCAATTTAGGCACTAACTATATGTTTAGTATATGAAATACTTATTGTTAATTTCTAGTGACAGGTCTTTTTTACTAACCTCCTCGATCATACAATCGAGATTTTAGTTGCAACTGATTTGGGGATTTCTAATTATAAATTTTACTGGCATTACCACATATCGCATTTATTCATGTTCATCCTAATCTTCAAATTCTTAAGACTAGAAGAAAGACATTTTTTTAATATATTAATTATTTAAGTTATCATTTTTTGTAATTTGTTTTTATTAGGAATTACCATACAATATTGGATAATATTTTATGATTCCTTTAATTCATTCTCTTTTGTTTTTAGATCAATAAAAATAAAACTCTATAAATATTTGATATTTAAATAAGTATAAATATTGATAAAGTATAAAATTGGTAATATTGAACATGGTTTTAAATGGAAAGTATTACATTTTCATTATAAAAATTAATTAATACGAATGTATACTATTTATACGTCATAAAATGGTTCAATAGCTCTAAATAACTGCTTGACTTTGCAGTATGACACTCTATTGAGAATCATTCTGTGCTCAAGAAACATCTTCTCATTCACTCCAGTACTCATCACAAATATTTAATATGCGACTCGTTCTCCTTCAAAAAAAGGTTCTCCGAAGAAACCATAGAAAGGTTATAAGAAAATTCTTAGAGGAGAAGAAGAAGGTTAATTACCTATGCCCTATTATTCAATTTATGAGTCACATAGATGGAATATATCAAATGATGGAGACTATGTTTTTGAGATCAAATGTAAATAATTAGGTCCATGTTTTTTGAGAATAATTTGGTTAGCATTTGATGATAGAAAGATTCATGAAATGGGATAAGCTTTCAACTTTTTAGTATGGAATCCTATGATGTTTAATCTCAAGGATTTAACAATTTAGACAGTCTTGCCAAATTTAGTAAAACAGTGGGATTTAAATGGATTTTAAGCATTTCATCTATGTCCTATTTAGGAAGTATCTCATAGTTTATATGCAATTAAAGATCATTTGAGTATAAAATACTTTCAAGATTTTGAGGATCTACATAATTTTATCTAATCATCTAAAAAGATCTTTTTCATAGATGTTGTATTGAATCATACATCTAAAGAGAGTGAATGGTTAAATGAGGAAGAATGTGTATATAATGAAAGAACTGTTCCTCAATTGACATCTGCTCTAGAATTAGATTTTGCTTTACGACAAGTGAAAGAATATGAGGATATTGAAAAAGTAATAAAGTCATTGAAAATTGAAGAATACTTTTAGATCGACATGTAGAAAATCGATTGGACGGATTGTTAATTAGAAAATAGTATTACAAATAGTGATGAGGATGATGAAGATGATAATATATTTTTAGAATCTAATTCTGAGAAAAATATAAAATTAATGGAATAATATTTGAAAAATTTTGGAGTCTCTAGATATGGAGTCACTTTTGAGCTAAAAAGATTATTGCAAGAATTAGGGAATCATCAATTGACTATTAGTCAAATAAAGAAGGCTTTAAAATGTATTAATGAAAAATAATTCAAAAGGGCTAAATAATATGAAGCAGAATCTATAGCAAATAATTAAACACATTATAAAAAGTATGGTTGTGTTCAAAAGTATTTCTACAAATTGAAGAATTGGTATGCTGCTTATAATGGCTATGTTGATAATATAGATCCTGAAGAAGATTTTGTCACGAGCCAAAATTTCCATTATTTAAGACATACAATCAATAAATGGAATGTTATTAAATTAAGATATGGTAGTAAGAGAGATACACCTTTATTATTGAATAGAATGAAAGAATATATTTGTTAAATGGCTCGTTATTTTCATGGTATTAGATTAGATAATTGTCATGGTACACCTTTAGCAGTTAGTTAATACTTACTTAAACATGCTAGAATAGAGAATCCTAAATTAATGGTTTTTGCTGAATTATTTGGTTGTTCATATTAATAGTAAATTAAGTATATGAGTAAATTAGGATTAAATGGATAAGTTGATGAATTATTTTATTGTAGAAATGCACCATCCATTGTCCATAAATTATAAAATTGTTCTTTCATCTAATAGATTTAAGCTCCTTAAAAACTTATTTATGATTAAACTCATGATAATCAACCTCCTATTGTCTAATCACAAGGTCCAGGTTATTTAATGTCTTTAGTGACTGCTTTATCTTTTAGTAATTAATTTAAAGGAACTACTAAATTAGTTGATGAATTTTATGATTAACACATAAGTTGTGTTTATGAAAAAAAATTTTACCCATAAAGTAATTTAAAACTTTTAGATTTACATTAAAGACTTATAACTTTTATGTGGAAACATAATACTCCGATTAAATGTGATTCAAATCATGATGTAGCATCGCCTAGTGTTGTTAAATTAAAAGGTTCATTTGATAATTGGGAAAAAGAATATTTTCTCACAAATGACAAATAAAATCCAAAATATTACACTTGTTAGATAGAATTAGCTCCAGGAGTTTATGAATATAAATACATCATAGATGATATTTGGATGATTGATGAAAATTAATAACATAATTAAATGAATAACATAATAGAAATTCGACCTATTCAAGCATATAAATCATTAACTTTCATTCGTTAGCTTGTTTAAGATTAAAGCCAATATACTTATATGGAATCTATTCATGAATAGATTCTTATTATAACTAGATGTTAAGAGGATCATCTAAATAATTAAATCATCGTAATTTGCTTAAGACCCATCATACGAAAGATTAAACTATATTCTAAAATAATAAACATTTAATATCACTATTCATTACAATTTTGTGGAAAAGAAACCGATAATTAAGAAAATGAAATCAAAGTTAAAGAACATTTCATAGATATCACTACTTAATATGCTACTATCAATGATAATATTCTATCTATTAACACTCCAACTTCTTATGTTATTATTTTGTAATGTGAACCTTTGGAAATAATCTAAGAATTGAATCAATTCCTTCTTATTCCTTTTCAATGTAATGATGATTTGAATCTTCTATATTAGCCACTGATAAATCATTATGAAGTACCAGGATGTGGGTAACTCTAATATACTGGATTATATGGACTAATGAGATTTATTAATAAAATTGAAACCTTAAAGGATCCTTTCATCAAGCATATCAAAGAGGGTGATTGGCTTATTGAATATTTATTAGAACATCATACTTGTTTGGTACCAATTTTAACAAAAATTAAATTATTACCTACTATATATAAATCACATTATTTTATTAAATGCATTAAACATATTGTTTAAAGTATTGAAGATAAATATACTCAACATAGAGAGTGCTTTTTCAAATAAATTGATATCCTTTCTACTTATTTTACTCTCCATGATTTTAATAAAGGCAGAGAAACATTTATGAGTTTTAAGGGTATCTTAATTTTAACAAGTATAATAATATATATATTTATTATTTAGATAAGGCTATTGAAGGCAAAGCTTTAATTTTTAAATATGGTAATTTATTGTAACATGGTTTAATACCTAATTCATTGAAACCACTTAGATATAATACTAGAGATACTTGCTTTTGGTGGATTAAAGCGATTCGAGATTATGTAACATATACAGAGGATTTCTCTATCATAAATTAATTATAAGAATAAATTTAATCCATATTTTAATCTCATGCTAATGGTATCAAATTTAAAGAAATATATGTGAATGATGAAACAGAAAAAGAAGTATTAATTTATCTTAAAATTTAGGGTTTGGTAGTAGAGCTTAATCTAGATTCAGAAACTGGATTTATTATGGGGGGAAACTATAAAAATTGTTTAACCTGGATGGATAAAATGGGATCAGGTAATTTAAATAGAGGTTATCCTGCTGCATCGAGGGATGGAGCTCCTATTGAATGTACAGCCTTATTAAAAGCTTGTCTTGATTTCATTGGAAAAATGCATTAATTGAATAAATATACTTATCCAGGAATTAAATTGATGAATAGAATGGTTACTTGGAGAGCATGGTCTGATTTCATTTGTCAACATTTTGAAAAAAGCTATTACATTCCACTTGATCCTGCATATTATAATGAGTATTAGATAGTAGAAAAATATGTAAGAAGAAAAGGAATCTATAAAGATATTTTTAAATGTTCTAAACCTCGATCTGAATATTAATTAAGACCAAATTCATGTATTGCTATTGCCTTAGCTCCAGAACTCTTTTAAAAAAATCATGTTATACATCATTTAGCATTAATTGAATCTAATCTAATGAATTTAAATTCACTTGGTTTAAGTACTCTAGATTCTATTGCCAGTGAATATAGTGGAAAGTATGTTTAATTGACAGACCGTTTCAATGCATAAAATGGATTTTCTATTCATAATGGATCTGAATTTGTTTTCTTACTTGGATATTATCTAAAAGCTTTACTCAAAATTCATAAACAAGATATTAAAAAAGAAATATTTTATGCTTATCTTGCTCCTATTAAACAACACTTAAAAGAATTGTAACTATTATTTTTTTATTTTTTAGTTATTCTTTGCCTGATTTCACTGATTATAATGGACAACTAAGTGAATTTGCTCAAAAATCTTCTATACTAAGCATTGCCCTTTTAAAAGAAGCCATTTTTGATTTAGAAGAATTTAGTTAAAAAAATTTTAAATGAAAATTTGATTATTTTATTCATAATCTAATTTCAATTAGATTTATAATTTTATAATCAAGACTTTTATTATGTCATCAATCTTAATTGCTAATGCAATAAATAAGTTTCCTCTATTAGTGCTTACATATACTAGTCTTTTAAGTCTTCCTATTATTTTAATTATTTGTTGAATTGTTATTAAGCAGAAAACATTGTTTTATTTTTCTCATATCTCTTTATAATGCTTTCTAAATCCTATCCTTCTAATTTAGGCTTTCTAATCTTTCCTGTTTCTTTCAGATGGATTATCTCTTATTCTAAATGCTTTTTTTCATTTATCAAATTTTAAATTTATCTAAATTACTCAATTTTCTTTATACCGATCTTTTTATGAACTTTATTAATTCAAAGAAGATTTATGATAAGGTTCATTAGATATTTTCTTAACACCATGTAATGTAGATTTACCTATCAATAACTAATCACCAACATAATCATGTCCTTCAAATTTATGAGGTATTACAATTGAAGTCTATTTTGTATTTGAAATTTTCTATTTTAGTTATTCATGCAACTCTATATTTTATTTTTTCAATTAATTTATCAATTCTAATAATTCCTGAATTTATTCTATTTATATGTTCAAATTATCCTCTATTAAATTTCCTTAATTTGTTCTTTATTTGTTTATAATATTATAACTTACTGTTAATTTTTATTTGGGTTGGTAATATCATATGATTTTTTATCTTTAGCTTAATTTGGTTCTATATATTTAGATATTTAAGAATTTGTTATTTTTTCTGCTTGATATACCCCTAATCTAATTTTCAAGGTTTTATTATGTGATTAAAGTATTCTTAATTCAAAGTAATTATTATTATTACATACCATCTCTCAAATGCTTGATATATGTTTAGGAATGAGCAAGGGGATCTAAGGCTGATTTAATCTAGTTAATCCAATCAGAAGGTATTATTGTTTATTTTTGTTTATTCATAAATAAAATAATAAATCATTATTAATTTAGAAATATAAAAATTTTATTCATTTTAAAGAAAAATAAGGATATACAAAAACTGAATCAGATAGCCAATTTTTCCATATATCAAAGTAATCTGTTGAAAAATGAGAAAAGTGAAATTCCAAAAATTTAATCTAGTAAGAAATTCTCATTTTAAAAAAGAGTTTTAAATAAAAATTAGGGAATTTTTTTTAGAATTCTTTTAAATAAAAAAAAAAATTGATTAAGAAACAGTTTAATTAGTTTGGTCTATAAGATGTTTTGTATTGTGATAAAAACTTTTTAAGTTAAGATTATAATTTTAATATATAGTAATTAATAGGTAATGATGAATAGGAGCATAAAAGTAAAATTCTTGATTGTTTATTATATGTTTAAATAATTAAGATTGTTTAAGTTTTTTTGGTTTTTGAAATTTGATAATTATTTCAGAGGTTCTCAATGCCCTTAAATTAATACATTATTAAATATATGCTTATTGAAATAATATTACTCTTAACTTCTTCCTCTTTTGCTCTTCTCTTTCAAGTAGACGAACTGGGAGATTCAATACATGATTGTGCCAAATTATTTATATTCGGAACACTTATTACAGAATTTCCTTGGATGATGGTAGGAATAATCAGTTTTTTATGGATTAAAGAATTTTTTAGAACCAAAGATACTTATCAATAAGAAAAACATCAAGGAAATCCTGCCATCCTAATACATCATGCTAGAGAAGGTGCTACAGCAACCTCTGCAGAAAATGTACAACCTACTATTGAAGCTGTATAAATCTTTGACTATGTCACTGGAGAGAGCTAATATGCATTCATACAGAAAACTGAGAAGAGTCTATTAACACAATTAGGAGTTACGTTAAAGAATACAATTTTATTAGAAAAGGGTCGACCATAGGATGCAAGTGTTAATTCTAAATTAATCTCACATATAGATCAATAAAAGAGGCCTAATACTTAGAATATATCAATTATTTATGAAGACAATAGTGAATATTAACAAAATTAGATAAAACCTCATGTTTCAATTCCATTTAAAATTGGTGATTTTGATAAATAGATGGGAGAAATTATTTAAGCAGAAATATTATCAGGAGAGTATCCTGAAGGTGTCAAAGTTATACATACAAAATTAAAGTATGAATAAGCTTTAATTTCAATTTTAATAAGTATCAATTGATATTAAAATTAAGTCGCAGTCATCCCATAAGTTGAAGGTTTGATTTACAGATTATTTAATTCTATTCTATTTGGAGTTGTTCTACATTCAGCAGTATAAAGAAAAGAAATACTTACATTATCTCATTTTTTATACTTAATTATTCTATTATTAAGTTGTGTAGCTGCTTATATATTTGGAATATATTATCAATCTATTAATATAAGATAGTTCCTTTTGGGATCTCTAATATGGTCATTTTAACATGTCAACCCAAATTTATGTTTATTAGTATTTCCAATACCAACTCTTTTGTTTTTAGCAGGCTTATGAATACTCAGTTTCAATTATCAGAAAATATCAAATTGCTCAAACTTGATATATATCTATATGCATATCAAGTTTAGATAGATATTTATATAAATCATTTCATTTTGGATAAATAAATAAACATATAATTTAATTGAATTATTCAACATTTAAATTGTATAAGCACAGAATCTCCCAATTTTATCCAATTTTAAAGCCCTTTCTAGAATTCCGATAGATTTAATGAAATGTTATTTAAATTAAACGTTGTATCAATAGAATTGACAATATAAACATTCTTATAGGTCGGCGTTTGTCTTAAAATTTCGAGACCTCTAATAATGAATAAGAATTACTTTCTAAAATATATGTAGCTTTTTCCAATAGTTGATAATCATTAGTAGATTTAGCTAATTTGATTACATCATATGCTCTAGATTATTTATCCATCCAAATTTATTCTTAAGTATCAATGTTATTAACTTAAATTTCATAATGTTAATTAATCAAATTGATAACTTCATCTTTTCTTTGCTTAATTAATTTGAAGATGGCAGCAAAAGTTTATTCGACTTCTTTCAATACCTTTTATTTTGATTCTTCAAATGTTAATTTAGTATGTCTAATATCTACAAGAACAGTTTCTGTTTTTTCTAATCTCAAGATTCCTAAGTTTGATATAATAAAAATTGGATTACCATCTTTAGCAGCTTGATCCATAGATGATCTAATATCTTTGGTAGCTTTATCCATTTAATCTACTAAATGACCTTTGTGATCTCCAAACATTAAACAAGTTGGACAAATAAGACTAGTATAATTAAATTAATATACACATGACAAGAAGTGCAAAAAGCTTCTAGTTATCTTTTATGAACAGTGCACTCACCAATTCTGAGAGTATCATCACTATTAAATTATTTAGTTGATGGTCCTGATTTAAGTTATTCTGAAATCATAAATTTTATTAATAAATAAAATGGAATCTAAATAAGGATTAGGAATGAGTATGGATAATATTTAGATTAACAAATAAATATTGAATTCAATATTGTATTTAAATGTACGATATGTTAAAATAACTTCACAATCCCTTAATTTTATTTTCGACAAATAATTTTTCATTTTCACTAACTTCAATTGCAAAATCTTTAAGTGCAACAGAAGAACATTTTCTTGATTTGATCTTTTTGGTTTTGGTAAGGAATTTAGAAATGCCGATCCATTCTCCCAACAAAGCTCCTTTTTCCACTCTCCAGACAGGTATTTAGAATTATTTAGCCAAAGCAACAATCAATTTCTTGTAAGTGTCTTCTGTGCAATCATCAGCTAAGACCACGAATTTTGCCTATTAAGAAAAGTATTGATAAATTATACTTGCTTGCTTTCAATGGCTTTGCATACTTCGTGGACACCCTTTGCTAATAATCCTCTATGTAATGATGTCTATACGACTCTTTTTAAGGTTGTGAGTTCTTCTGATAATTGCTCAACTTCTGCCATAATAAAATAATTTAAATCTTATTTAAATTAAGAAAACCACACTTATAAAAAATTACAAAGTAAAGTAAAAATATACAAATCACAATTATTTTCGTATCTCTCTAGCTAAGTTAGATCATATAAGTATAACTGAGGAGTTAAAGTGAATTTCTTTAACTAACTAAAATTTTAAATCATCTGAATGTTTAATTTTAATAGTGCAAATAGGTTGATCTAAATCTTACAGAATTCTCATCTTGAATCTAAGAGATTATCTTAATTCTTCTTTCTTTTATTATAATTTGAGTTAATGTTCTTTTTTTTATTTTTCAAATCTAATTTTGTAGCATTCTTTTCTTTATTAATCAATAGTTTATTCTTGTTTTTGATTAATTTTTTAATAATGAGCATAAAAATGATCAAAATTAGCCCTAACTCCATCAAAGATGGAAGCTCTATTGCGATCGATGAGCATAAGTTTAACTTTTTTTTTATTTTTTTTAGTTTTATCAGCAATTAATAAGGTTCTATTGTTGTTTGTATAAATGAGTTGTTTATTTAATTGATGAACTCCTAATTTAGTATAGATATCAACATCCCATGATTGGAGCATAGTAGGATTTTTTGGCCATATAACAGACTTATCTTTGATTGATTGATATTATTCATCCATAAAATCAATAAGATCAGTAGATAAGGACATTGAATAAAATTGATAAGAACATTCATTATTTGAACAGGATTCAAAGATTTTATTTCTGTTATCTTTTTGTTATTCCATTTATTCTTCTGGTTTATAGAAACGTTTAAGTTCTTTTAAGTTTCCAAATAAATCATTGCAATTATTAAAAGTATTAATAAAATTAAACTCTTCTTCTTTGATTAGTTGTAGTTTTAACAATTCTCTTTGTTTAATTTATCTTAGGAGATTAAGTGCAATTAAATTTTCATTTAATAAGATTTCTCTGGCAACATCAATAGATTATATGTCTAAATGTTTTTATCGTTTTTATTTGTAAGCCTTGCTTGGTCTAAAAGCTACATTCATACGATAACTAATTTGCAATAAACAATTTACTCATTCTCTTGTGCACGCATGAAGACTCTCAAAAGTGGCCTTTATAGTCTTTCAACTTTGTTGTTATAATAAGTTTCATCATATTCAAAGGTATTGAGTAATGAATATTGTTTAGAATAATTACGATTAGTATTGAGATGACGCCTAAGATCCAATTGCTGCATTACTTTTGGGTCAATGCCAGCTTCTAAGTCTTCTTCATCACAAGAGTATTCATTTTCATCAGGGTACACTATATTAGAGTGAATGTAAACAATGGGCAATTAGATGTTGGTCTAAGTAACAGTTGGAATAGTGACAAAATTAGGTACTTCAATTGATTTACAAGGAATTGACTATACTTATTTGAAATGAATACTTCGGACTATTCAAAATCCCATTTTTCTTATTTTACAAAAACTGCATTCGGATCAATGTTCTTCATAATTTTAAGATTTAATTTTGTTTAATTTATATACAAAAAGTCAAAGAAACAAAATTCAATAGAACATTTCATATATATTAAAGTGAATGATAATATTACTGATCAAATATCTAAGTATAAATAGCGATGCCTTTTTAATTGAATGACATATTATTAATTTATTAAAATGTTTACAACAAGATTTGTATATAGATTTGCTAAATCTGTACCTGTGGTTGATGTTACATCTTTCCTTGCTAAAAAGGGTGACTCTTCAGCATAATGTGCTTAAGTAGCAGAAGCATTACATAATTATGGTGCTGTCTGTATTAAAGATCCAAGAGTTAATGATCGTCATAATGTCGATTTTTTAGACATGATGGAAAAGTATTTTGAATCTAGAGCTGCTAAATTTTATAATAATGAAACAGTATTTACATAATTTATATCTCTTAAGGTTGAAGATATCTTTCCAAATTATGCTTATTAAGTTGGAGCAACACCAGAGTTCGTTGAAAAAGCTAGAACTCATAATAATGTTGTAAGATAATACACTAAAGAAAATGAAGCTTTGACTCCATAACCAGCTCCTTATGTAATTGTTTAATACTAATTCAAAGGATGCCAAATGGAGATTTTTTTGGCCTATTGATGATTCAGGTAAACGAATTAAAGATGAGGAGTATTATTATTATATAAATATTCATATAGTTTTACTCCTCCAAGATTTAGACCTAAAGATGTTCCATAATTTGGAGAGAGAATGGAATAATGGGGTAAAATGATGATAAATGGATGTTTAACAGTAGCAGAAATGGCTGCTATTGGTATGAGTATTCCATCTGACTCTTTTACAAGTAGAATGTAAAATGCTCCTCATTTACTTGCTCCAACAGGTTCTGATCTAGATAGACATAAACCAGGAACCATTTTTGCAGGATTTCATTATGATTTGAATTTCTTAACTATTCATGGTAAAAGTCGTTATCCTGGTTTATATGTTTGGTTAAGAAATGGAGAGAGAATCTCTGTAGCTGTTCCAGAGGGACATTTATTATTATAAGCTGGAGCTTAATTTGATTTATTAACTGGTGGATATGTAACATGTGGATATCATGAAGTATTTTATATACTCATCTATTTAGGTTATTTATACAGAAGAAGCAAGAAAAAAATATGAAGAAAATAAAAAAGCAGGAAAGAGTACTTGGAGAGTTTCATCTACTCTATTTTCACATATTAATTCAGATGTTACACTTCAACCATTAGATAAGTTTGCTAAACCTGGATTACCTCCTAAATATAAACCAATCAAAGCTTTCGATTAAGTTTAATAAGAATTAGAAGCCATCAAATTAAAATTATGAAAAGCACATTTATAATATTTTCATATGGCAAAAAATATTATCTATTTTTTTATTAAATAATAATAATTAATATTAATCATTCACTAACTAATTTAACTTTAATTCTTTTATATAAGCTATCAATTAAAAGTCTATCATAAATTAATAATTATTTTTTTATATAGAATCTTTATTTTATTGAAGACTTCATTATGCTAATCACTATCTGATTTAATTGTTTTTAGTAAAAATAAGTGGCAATATAAAAAGAAACATAAATCTGTTTGAAAAGTAAATAAATTAAATTGTTAGAATTTTACATATATTTTAATAATTTCAAAGAATTGAAGAATGTTTAATTAAAACAATCATGTTCTTATATTTTAACTATTTTTTAACATTATATAATTAATTTTAGGAAATTAGAAGTATTTGTTAATGTATAAAAAAGTTGTATTTTTCAGATTGGGATAATTTTGTATTGATGATAATGATATTAATATATAAAATATTTGAAAATAAAAATGTTACATCTTTTACCTAAATGTGTATAACTAATACAAAACGAAAGATCTCTGGAGTATGATAGATTAACAAAAAGATTAGAGAAAACATTAATTGAGAATTCTCTTTATAGATTGTCTGTAGATATTAGATCTCTGTAAAGCTTTTATTCTGTACATTGTTTTAATAAAGAGGAAAAAGAGAAGGAGATATAAATGGACAAGGAAAAACTTTTTGCTTTATTAATAGAATATAGTCTTCAAAAGTATGTTTATAGCACAAAACATTTATTTTAAACTTCATGGATTCCAAAAAGAATAAAATTTTTTCTGTCCTCAATTATAAAGACGATAAATGATAATATTGAGATTAAATATGAGGACTTGTAATAAATTTATGGTGAAGTGGACTAGAATGGTTTAGATGCAACTTTCGATAATGCTGATTAATAAATAATAAGAGGAATTTAATGTTTATAAGAGTAACATTTTAGATTTATAAATAGATTTTTTGGATTGTTTCGTAACTTAATTCCATCAAGTTATTACCCATTATTAATAGATAAATATTTATAAGGAGAGAATCTAAATCATAAATTATTTAGAGTTGATAAATCTGAACCAATTTCAACTTACAAAAAGAGTTTTGAAATGTTGATTGAGTTTAAAAAATATTCTTATGTAATGAAATAAATGGATTCTGTCTTAATAGCATAATTAATATGGTATAATTTACATTTTAGATATTTAGTTGTCGTCCTGATTTACCTATAGATAATTATTTGGATTTTCTTTTAGAAGATATCTATAATAGCTTTATTGTACTATTATTGAATGTCTAAAACTAAACAAATAGGAATCAAATTAAAATTCCTTAAGGTAACATGAGACCTTCAGAATTTATTTAACCATTAGTCTACTTAATTGGATCATCATAAATTAGAAATAAAGTTTGGGATACTATTGAAAGAATGTTTTTAGTTATTTCTGATTTGATTCATCCAAATAATGCAACAACAAATGATTTTGTTTTCTCCTTTTTTTATATTTTTGTTAAAGCATTTGTTGAAAGAGTACAAGCTTAAAAGGATTATCCAGAAAAAAATTAAGAATAAGAGAATATATTAGACAGTATAGTTATATTTATATTATAAAGATAATGTATTTACAAAGGATGAACAATTACTTGAAAAAGATGAAGAGACAAATGAAGTAAATGAAGAAGAAGAAGAAGATGAATTAGAAGTAGATGAAGATAATAATGATAAAGATAAAATATTTGAGAAAAAAGAATTTATGATTGATTAAGAAGGAATTGATAAATTTATTTCTATAGTCAAACCACATTTAAAATACTTAATTTATCAAAAAAGCAAATATAAAAAATAAGTAGCAGGAATTTATTAAGTAAATATCATAATTAAGTGATAAGTCTTTATGTATATTGAAACCAAAGGAAATTTTGCCTTATCTTATGGAGTAGATTTAATTAGCTTTAGAAAGAGATGATATTAAACCTTTACTCATTATTTACATTATTGAGAAAATTTTTCAGCCAGCTATAAAATTTGATTAATATCCTTAAATAATCAATTACATCCCATTTATTTTAAGGCAAACCACTAATTTCATTTTTGAAAATGGTGAATATATATGGAGATTTTATGATATACTTTTCCAACATATTCCTATTTATGATATCAAAGATTTAGAAATTGAATACCCAAATCTTAATCTAAAAGAAGGTATTCATAATTTGAATTATTAGAAATGTTAATTGAGGGTATTAATTTTTATTAAATCACTTAAGAAATTAGTGATTTGGCATTAGAAGCTTTTAGAAAATATGTTTCAACTTTTGAATATAGTGATCTAAAATATCATAGAAGTCAGAGAGGCTCAGAAATTCTCTTTTCATCGAGAAATAAATTTTACAATTTTATATTTTAATGTTCTAAATCAAATTACAAAGAAATAGTCAATATTTTATGTAATTATTTAGATGATAAAATACTTAATAATCTATCTGATAATTTTGTATTAGTGTTATAAGCAATAATTTTAAGAGATCCTAATGTTTTGAAGGATGTTTTGACTATTATTGAAAATCAACTCTTGAGAAAAACTAAAGATCATTTCGAATTTAATATTTCAAATATTACAACAATAAGAAATTATTTAATTATAATTTATGAAATTATTTAGTTTACAGGAGGTGTAAATAAATAGTATTATTAAAAATTTAAATGCATAATTGATTTAAGTTTGAAACATGAGGAAACTAAAATATAATAAGCAGGTTAAAATATTTTAGAAAGTCTACTCATGAGTTAAGCAGTGATCCATATTAAAGATTTTTAATTTACTAATGATCCTAAAGTTTAGTTAGATTGGTTAAAACTAAAATAAAAAGGAAAAAATGAGAAATATTTACCAAAATGGTAAGATATTGATGATTAAGAATTTATCAAATAAATTATGGATGATTATTATTATCCTAGTCTTCAATAAATTAGAGAAATTATTGCTTAAAAAAAAGAAAACTAATCTTTTCTTGATTATTTATAGAATGACTTTTTATAACAATATGAATAACAATATTAATTGGATTCAAAATAAAGTTGTTAATAGATAGAGCTGAAAATCAGAAAGATTTTGTCTTTAAATATCGACACCATCCATGCATTTTTAAAACCCCTATATTTTAGAATGAAATAATATGATGAAAATTCAAGTGAAGTTTTTAAAAAATTCTAAGACTAATATTGTTTTGCTGTTTTAAATAATATGTATGATGAAGTATAATAATTTGATTATTATTTAGATTATTAAATTTTGTATTGATTTTGTACCTGTTTATGTTAATAATGGATTGGCTATAGATGTAAAATTGGCTACTAGTTTTACTATTATCATTAAGTTATTAATGCACGATACTTCTGATAAAATTTATAAATTGGGTTAATGGTTGCAAGTGAAAACTAGATAATCAGATACTAATAAGAATTCATGTTAAAATAGATTTTAAGCATAAATGTTATATACATATTTACTCAATAATAGAATTGATTAAATTTATAGAAGCCAAATAAGGAATCAGTAAAATAAAGAGTATTTCTTAAAATAAATTTAGATTCTTCTTAATATCAATTCCATTCTTATTTGATTCTAATGAATTTAATTGTAAATTTAATTATATTTGGTTATAAAGGAGAATGGAATTATTAGAGGACAGGGAATGGTTATGTGAATTTTTTATAAAATTTTATGAACAATTAAAAACAGTTTTCAAAAATAAATGGTTTAATGTATAATACATTGAAAGTTTGAATGAAACTGAAAAATAAAAACTATCTCTTTTTTAGAATCATTTTACAAAAGGATTTGCAAATTTTGTAAGTACAGTTTCAAATTTATACCCTGGAATGTTTTTAGAATCTTACTAAATTTTTGATGGTGCTTAATAAAGTATAGTGTTATAATTTTATATTTAGATTTGATAGATAAAGTGAATAGAGCAAAGTTTAATTAAATTCTCTTAAATTTAATAAAAAAAATATCTTAAGCTTGTGTTGAATTAAATGAAGCTGATTTTGAAAGAAAAAACAGTATAAACTAAATATTATTTTAGTTTTAATAATAAAAAATTAAGAAATCTAAAAATATGTTGATTGTATTTTTGAATAAAGAATTCAACATTGGTAGGAATAACAAATAAAAATAAGTAGAAATTTAGAGAGTTTAAATGAAAGATTATATTAAATAGTTGAACTTTGGTTAAATATTCCTTTAGATGCAGTTACATCTTAATAATTAATAACTAATGGTTGTGCTCTTTTATTAATGAGAACAGATTCACTACCTTAATTTAATGAGAGAGTTATTCTAAAAGCCTTTAATTGTTGTATTAGTTAAGAATTGAATATTCGAAGTTTAGGGAAGTTACTACTATATAGATTAATTTAGATTGGTGTTTTTAAGAATAAGACATATAAATACAAATACAGAAAACCTGAAGATTTTAAAAATGCTAATATAAATCTAGAATAATATAATATTTATAGATTTATATTGCCTGAAGATTAAATCTATTATAAATTGAATGAGCATCATAGGAAAGGCAAAATATTATTATATAATTAACTTAAATATACTGATATAAAGAGAGAAGAAGTTAAGAAAGAATTTAAAATCCTAAAATCTATCAGTTCAGAGTAATGGCATCAATTTATAAATTTAATGATTATTGATTAAAGTGTTTTAGATCAATTCTAAATTAATTAAGATAAAAAATCTCTTGCAAATTTATTTAATGATGTTGATAACTTAGCCAATGAACAATTCTTTTATTATTCTTACATGAAAGCTCCTATAAGATTTAATTTATCATATAAAAAAGTTTAGTTTTTGAAATATTTATTTGCCATTACAGATTATGAATTATTCAATCATACAAAAGATTTGATAGACCAAAATAATTTAGATCAATAATCATTCTCAAGAATCTATTTATCAGGATTATTACATGCATTACATTCTTCTTGGGATTGTTAATGCAAATAAGAGATTATAGATTATTGTATAAATAAATTTGAAAAAATAATTATGGATTAATCTAAAGATGAATTTAAAACCTTTTAGTATATTTTGCATTTTGCCTAATCTAGATGTGATCTAAAGATATAAGAATAATTCTTATAATCTCTAGTAGATTAAGTTTAAAAAAAAAATGCTAAAAAAAAATTAAGATGGATATAATTATTCTATGTTATGATTGAATCTAAGAAACACCAATAAATTAAATTATTAGATGAAATATTATAAACTAACTTTGATTATTCAAATCTTAAAGCTGCTTAAACATTTATTCCTCTTATTATCGATTAATAGAATAAATATCCTCATAACATTGAATTGTTATAAGAACTTGGCTTAATTGAACAATTTACTTAATAAACATCTATTTTGTTTAAATCTAAGTATTTCATCTTTGAAAATTCTGAACTATTTACTAAAGGACTAGATATTTTGGTAAATTAATTTTAAGAATAAAATATAAATTGTAAAATAAATATCATAGAAACTTTATTTTTATGTTGGAATTCTAAAAAGTTTATTATCAATCCATATATCTTTTAAAAAATTTAACCAATTGTTGAATACTTATTAACAATAAATGAAGAGAACAATTTATAATAACTTACAAAAGGATTGCAGATTTTTTCAAATATAAGATTTAAAGAGAGTACAATTGCTTTAATTAAATTAACTTTAGACTTATTAAAAGTTTCATCTAATACAGTCAGAGTAAGATAATTAAAATTTTTAAAAGTAATTCATTTTATTATTATTCATAGAATCTCACAAAAGAGATTTTACATATTAATAGAGCTGAAATCCTTGAAAATATTGAACAATATTTATAAGATGAAAATAAAGTAGTTATGCAATCATGTTTTGATTTAACTACATAATTAATTCAATAAATGACTTTAAAAGAAGTAAATTGTTAATTAGAAATATGTTTGAAATAAGTAAATTTCAAATTTAAGTTAGTCTACAAATAAAGAAACTGAGCTAATAGGAAAATAAGTTCTTATGGCTATGATTATGGCTCATCCACGATATACTTAACCATGGATTAATTAAGTACTGAAAGTAATTTTGGAAAAACAGAATAAATTGTTATAATAGTAAAAGACGTTTGCAGCAAATTATTTGAAACTATATAGAGCTAATTAATTGATGGAAATAGAAGAAGTGTAAATAAATATAGAGTTCATTTAAAAAATGAGTGAATTGTCAAATCCTTATAATTATTTCGCTTGACAAGAAATCATCACATTATAATAATATTTTTAAAATAATATATAAACAATTTTTGTTATAAAAAGTTTAGAACTCTTTTAATATAAATAATTCAATTTAATGGACATATAAATAAAAAAGCTAACAACCGTGATTAATTAGTTAAACAATAAATTGGAGCAGTTACAACAAATATAAAATTTTGATTACAAGCAAATTTCAGATGTAATGAAAGTATTTTTAAAATATTGTAGCTTTTATTAGAAGTTAATTAGGTGAATGGGGAAATATCACTTCTAATATAATCTGTGATAAATATAGATGTGAGTTAATTAATGGATAAGATTTTTAATTGTCTTAAAAATCTGTTGATTCATGTACTGAAGAATAGAGAGTAGTTGAATTAAAAAAAAATTCATTAAAAGTCTTAATCAATTTAATTAATTGATGTATGTGTATAGAACTTAGGAACATAGTAAAGTTTATTAGGAGGAGTTGCTATTTAAAAATAAGGAAATTAAGCATTAAAAGTGAGAAATATTACATAAGTACCTTGGTATGATACATCTTAAGTGATTCATGTTCCTAAGAAATTTATTGATAAATACACATGTACAACTGAAGATTATTATATAAACTGTTCTAAAGCATTATCTGATTAAACAATTAGATAATAGGAGTTTGAGAGTATACTTTAATTTGCAAATGAATCAATAGCAATGATGGGAGAAGCATTATAAAACAAAATATCATATGAATACAAGGAAAAAGGGAAACCTGAAGTATTAGAGAAGTTGATGCATGCTATAAAATTTAAAAAAGAAGATTTAGATAAAATTATGAAAAGTGTTGACTTAGATTTATTGAAGGATAAAGTTGAAAATTATGAATATATTGAATAGGAAATAAAAAATCATATAATATAAGTTTAGAAGGAAACAGCGGAGAAAGTGTTTATATTTTGTAAATAATTATTCAAGGAATAACTTAAGAAAGGTAAGTATTAAGTTTAGAATGAGTTAAATAAATAGACTAACTTTTAAAAAGGTGATGAATGTAGATGTTCAATATATGTTGGTGAAATTGTATTTCTTTAAAATAAGATAGAATCTTAATCTTAATTGGCAAATAAGTAATTATTAGAAATGAAAGAGAAGGATCGTATAATATAAGATATGGAATTATAGATGAAACTTTTTGAAGGTTAATTGAAATAGCATATATAAGAGAAATAAGATTTAAAGTAAAAGTTAGACTAATAGCTAAATATATAAAGAAGGGGTTCAGTAATATAAAGACAATAAAGTTTTGCTAAGAATATATAGTAAATTGAGGAGCAGAATTAGGATTAATAATCTTAAAGTCCATATAGAAAGATGTCAAGAGAAGATAAGATATCATAGAATAGACTAACAAAATCTTAGATATTATTACCATTATAATAATTAAATGAGAATTTAGATAATGCTTAAATAAGTAATCTTATCCATAAAGATAAAATGATAGAGAGATTAATTATTTTAATCAATGCTTTGGATAGATTAAATAAAGAAAAAAGATTAGCATAATTATAATATGTAGTAGAATCAAAAGGAGATAGATAATTGATGGATATGATTGATTTGATAAAAGATATTGAGGATAATGATCTATAATATAAAGATACAAAATCATTCTGTCATAGTTAATAAGATTTTGATGATTCTCATTCTCCTATTAATATGCCTAAACATTATTATTCATAACATAATATAGATTAAGGGGGTGATTCACCATCTATAAGATAAAAGTTCTAATCAACTAGAGATTTAAATTCTCCAAGAATTTAAAGATTAGAATAAATTTAAGAAATAGATGAAAATAAACATATTCTCCTTATTCCAATTGAATAAAATGTATCAAAAAGAAAATAATCAAGAAACACTAGTTAATCTAGTTTTAATGATAGTAATTAATAGTTAGATGATGTATCTCCAAACATTAGATAAAAATAACGACTTACTAGAACTTAATCTAATAATTAAAAAATATTTGAAAATAAAACAGAAAAAGTTAAAAGAACAAGTAGTTCTATCAAATTAAAGATTAATAGAAAAATATCAAATTAAAATAATTCTAATAATGATATTCTCTCGAATCCTTATGGAACTTCTACTATTTAACCATTAAATTCAGGTAGTCTTACTGAAAGATTACCTTTAAAAAATGGTATTTTGACAGATGATTAATTCAAATTTGATAAAAATATTGAAAATGATGATACTTAAATGAAATCTTCATTAAATAATAATAGTCTACATGATAAAACTCACAATAATGCATTATAATCAGGACTAACAACTTAACATCATACTCCTAATAATTCATCTCGATTAACCAAACTGAAATCAACTAATTAAAATAGTGATAATGTTTCATAAAAATATATCTCAAATTCTAAGAATGTAAATGAAATAACAAATGTTTAAAATACAATACAAAATCTACAATTAACAAAATTTCAAGATCTATAAAATTAAGTTTAAGATACATTCTAAATTTAAGAAGAAAATGATAAATTAATTAAAAAATAATCTTTAGCTACTCATAATAATAATTAAATATAGCAATCCATTACATAAAAAGAATCCTCTTCCATCAATATAAATAATGAAATTAAAAAATCTTAAAGATCCAATTAAAATCCTGTTATTCCTAATTATGATGATAATAATGGTGAAAATTCTAATAGATCAATTAGAAAAATGAGTCGATAAAATATGTCTCCTAATTCTTATTAAAAAACTGTTGGAAATGAATCTGTTAATTAATAATCATATAAATAATCTCTTTTAGATCGTTTATAATCTTAGAATGATTTAAAACCATAATTTACAAATCATAATACATAAACGTCTATTGAAAATTTAGAATCTAAGAAGTAAGATGTATTTATTAAAGATTACATTAAAAAATAAAAAGAAGAATTTGAAAAAAAATAAAAAGAAGAAAGAGTTATGTTTGATTAAAATTTATTTGATATTGCTGAATAATAAGAAGAATAAATCATCAAATATGCACTTAATAATACACAAGGATACATGATATCTCATGAAATAGATGATTAAATCATCAAATAAATGTATTAAAATTTAAAGGATAATGGAACTCAAATTAGTTAAACTATTAATAAATTTTATCAAAAATAAGAAAATTAAAATATTGATTTTCAAGATTTTAAAAATTTTGTCTCTAAATTCCAAAATCTACATAAAAGATGTGGAAAAGATTGTATTCATGTAACAAGGTATGTATTTATTTAACTTTTAATAAGATTTTACATGAGATTAGGATTTATACCAATTAAATATTTAAATAAAAGAAAAGCAATGAGATTAGCCAAACCAGTAGTATTACCAGGATTTCCTAAAGTAAGTTGATTAATAATTATAAATCTTATTTAAAATTAAATCTCAAGAAATATTTGAATTAATTAATGTTTTACTAACAATAGGCCCTTATGATGTAATTAATAGATGTCCTAATTTTATTTACTTTTAATACCATCAAAAACTGCTTAAAGATCTTAATTAGTTTTTAAAAGTGGGGCAACTTTTTCCCATTGTCCTTTTTTTGGATTCAAAACATCTTCTTTTTCATCCTTAAAAATATTTTCATGACCTTAAATTTTGACTCTCTCACCTAATTTACTTCCAGGAGCTGGCCTCATTAATTCTACTTTTGTGTGAGTTGAATCAGATGCACATAAAACCATACCATTTGACATAAACCCTATAAAACAATAAAATGTAAAAATACCTGCTAATTTTCGTGGTTTAAGATTTACTAATACTAAAACTTATCCTGTCATTTCTTCAATAGGCACAAATTTCTATAATCCTGATGCTATCTATCTTATTTCACCTCCAATATCAATTTCTTCACAATATAATTTATCAGATTCTTCATGCTTAAATAAAAGATTAAAATACTTTCCAAACTTTTTTCAATTCACCAACTCTTATATCTATACTAACAAAATCAGTAAATGGTCCAAAATCTTAAGGAGGTGCCTTTTTATCTGGTTTAGGTTATTAAGGTAGCTTTTACTTAATAATTGGTTATTATTCCTCTTGGAGATTTTATTAACTTTTTTATTTGTTATTGATCTAATTTAGTGAATCAGGCTTGACTAAGTTTTATGCTAAAGAGTTCATTTCACTCATTTTAAAAATGTACTTATATTTATGAAATAAATTCATCATTAAAATATAAAAATTAGTGAAAGAATTATATATATAATCATTTAGTTTTTATTGGAGGTAATTCTTTCCTATTTATTTTAAACTTCATTTTATTGGAAGCACAAGATGATTCTTAAAATGAAGTTGGCATAAAATATTTATTAACCATTTGACTAGATTTTTATTTCAAAGATCTTGCTGAACAATTTTAACTTTTTTCACATTTATCTTTTTCAAAAACCAATATATTCTCCATAGATTTTTTAAAATTGGTTTTTTATGTTAATGAAAAATCAAGAAATTTTCCTTATGATTCAATCCTTGGAGTTGTATGACATTAATTTTTATGTTTATTACTTAATTACAAGATCTTAAATTTATTTTGATTTGGACTAGTATTAATTTGATTTTACTAAAGTTTTGAATTTACTTAATCTAATTCTTTTACACTATCTTAAAATACTTGAGTTCTTGGGGAATTACGAAAAAGGTATTGTAAAAAGAATAACAATTTAAATTACTATATTTAAATATTGTACATGCATACTTATTGTATTTATTATTCTTTTAGAAATTAATCCAATTGTTATTAATAAGTCAGTGGAATTTTTTCATGAAATTTCCTTGTAATCCATGGATGCATCAATGCTTAACTCACATTATATCTGTCTATAGGATTAACATTAATCAATTTATATAAAAGATCTTTAGCTAATGGAGTAATATTGAAAGGAATTTCTATAGAAGGATTAAGAATCTTTTTAATAAAATCGTATTTGGTATCATCCTTATTATAAAAAGGATGAATTCCTCCATTTAATAACATATAAAGTATAATTCCACAACTCCATACATCGACTTATTTACTATACTATAGTTTAATATGAAAATAAATAATGTACATATTTTTCTGTAAATTATTCAGGTGCCATGTAAATAATAGTTCCACATTTTTTATTCAATAATTTATGAAAATTACCTTCTGTAGTTGAGAATCTAAAACTCAACCCAAAATCAGCAATTTTAACATTTGTTCCTGTCAACATAATGTTCTCTGGTTTAATGTCTCTATGTATGATTGATCTATCATGTAAGTAGTTTACACCTTCTAAAATCTATTTCATAATGATAGCTGCCTCCTATTCATTTAATTGTTTATCTTTGATTTTCTATGCTAAAGTACCTCCTTCCATATATTCCATGATTATATAATAACACTTTTTGTTTTCTGAAATCTTAATAAATGTTTTTACTCATACTCTTTTGCATCTCACAATATTGGGATGATTCAATTGCATATAGATATCTTACTCAGGAGTTGTACTATTGTAAATTATTTTGGAAATAACCTCTTAATTGCTTTATATATTACCTTTACTGCACAAATAGTTTTGTCTGTTAAATCAATTGCTTTATATACTTTACCAAAACTACCCTAGCCTATTTTGGTAATTTCTTTCAATTAATGTAATTACTATAGAAATTGGATGTCTTCACCTGTAAACATCTTTAATTAGGTAGTTAAAATAAAATTATCATTTATATTATAAAATAACTTAGACATCTTATCTCTGTATCAATGTTTACAATTTATTCAAATAGATCTCATACAAGTAATCACTGGCAGATGAATAGAATTCAATTGCCTATATCATATAAAAATAGATAATCTTACTTATTGATATAAATCCATAAGTTTATTAATTGTCTATTGATTGAATTTCTTATCAATCTCATTTTCTAATTAATTCAGATTCTTCATAATTGAATTTATCTTTTATTTCTCAGCCTATTACTAATCTCCAAAAACCATATAAGAGTTTGAAGTCATTCTTACATGCTAATATTGATTCAATCTCTTTAAAAATAGTCTAATGAATTTATCATATTCATTTATCGTAAATATTTATTACTCTTCTTATTTATTTTTATAATTCTTCCAACTTATTGATAATTGTGTACTATTATCCTTTTTTCTTTTTAACTAAACACAACTTTAAAGTGGTGCTCTAAATATAAGTCGAACATAATCATCTTTTCCATCTATCATTTCAAATAAATAAAAATGAGCATCACTCAATCCAATCAACCTTATTATTTAATTTAATATCTATTACCTCACTTATATATTTTAGAAAAAAGCATTCTATTATTAAATTGTTGGAAATCTTGCTAAATCTGGATAATCTTTCAATTCATCTATTGAATATGAACTACCTAAATAATATTAACCAATATTTTAAAGATAAATCTTATCAAATCTATTCAATAACACACGGTCCTATTTATTATTTTCATATGACATACTAAAAATGATGGAATCTATTTTATAATCGAAACCAAAGATAATTTATAATTCCATGGCTACAATAATACATCTGCTATTAAATTTCTGCCATCTGCCAAAGTTGGTCTAACAAACTTAAATAACTTAATTAGAATTACTGTTGTTTTGCAAACTATTCTAACATCTTTTACTGGATATTGTCCACCAATTTATATTGTAAATACTATCAAATCTATATTTTATAATTCATTATTTGCATAAACTTCTACTTTTTATTTTATTCCAATCTATTTCATTTATAACTATCATTACATCTAATTCTATCCATCTCTTTGATTTTGTATTTTAAACAAAATTTAATTCATATTTCTCTTTGGTACATAATTATACGACTTCATTCATTTCTAATTTATAATTACTCTCAACCTGCAGTAAATCTTTTAACTTGTCCTTCCAAACTAAACAACTCTTTTGACCATTAAATTATTGCTTAAATCTTTGAATTTTCAACTTCATTATTCATTGATATTATAATTTTATTAATCAATAATCATTATTAGCATTATTTATTTGATTTTAATCAATCAAAAAGGTTATTGAAATATAAATTACATAATTTTATTAAATTCCTAATTCTTTTAATTAAACATTGTACCTAAATGCTTAAAAATTTTCAAAATTGAATTTATAAAAGTTCTATTCAATATTAATCTCTGAATACTCAGAAATTTAAATACCAATTTTATCAAAAGATTTTAAAATTAATGAATAAGATTTTTATGAAAAACATTGGGTTTAAGAAGTTTAAAAATCGACTATATAATAATAAATAAAATTAATAATTATTTTGATTAGAATCTGAATTATATATAATCTATAAATTAATAAATATTTTGAAATTGAAGAGAATCATTTTTATACCACTTTTTTGATAAGTAAGATAAATAACATTGATAAAATTAAAAATATATATCCAGATTCATTTGAATTAATTTTTTCATAGTTGTCTTTCATATCTAATTATTCCTTTTTCCATTTTTGAAAAAGCTATAATAATAATAATTGAGTATCTAATTTTTTTTAATTCTAAAATATATAATATATACAAGAATCAGGTTTATTAACATTACAATATTGTCAATTTTAAATATATTAAAATTAGAAATTAAAGTACAAGCTCAATGATCTTTACATGGATTGAATAAGAAAAAAGATGATTAGAGAATTTTAATAATTATATTGTAAAATATGCAAAAACAAGGGATAATAATAAAAAGATTAATCTGGCAATTTAAACCAAGTTTAAATAAGTTTATTGTTCTTATTTAGTTAAATATTTAATTTAAACAGTTCTTAACAATAGTAAACTGAAAAATTGCTATTCTTAGATGTCTCTTTCTTTCAAATATTTTACTATTTCTATTATATTTTTTCTTTTAAGCCATTGAAATTACTTTTCTATTCTATTCCTCCTTATTCTCTTTTTTTTTTATGATTTAGTATATCATCTAATTATTGGATAGATATCAAAGAAATTTTTAATAACTTATTCTGGTAAATTGATATATTTTACAAGCATTTTAATTTAATAAAAATTATTTATATATATGGGTTAGGAGAAACTAGCTGCATTGCTACTATATAGATAATTATTTAAGTCCTTAGGAAATAGATTGTCAAGAGATTAATTGAGAAAATATTATCAATACACTGTTTAAGCTAGAGTTCATGGTGAAAATCAATAAATTTTGAAAAACTTAGAAATTTATTTGAAAGCAATCAAAATTCAAAATTAAATAATGGATGCTGAAAATATAGGCAAACCTAAAGATTATAAGGCAGATATATAGAAGGTTGCTAATTATGTTGGATTAAGAATGCCAGAAACCCATTAATAATAAGAGTGATTTATATAAAATCTATATAATTTTAATTCGATTTCATTTTTAAGGTGGTTAACTAGAGAATCTGAATTTACATCCAGTAGCTCTTTCTCGACAACCTAATACTGATCTATTAATCTTAATTTATTTTAGTTATAAACCATCGAACAATTAAATACTCTCATCTAAATCAGTATAGGAATCATTATCTTTTACAGAATATTCATCTTAATCTTATATTTACCAATTTCGATGGAGTCGATATAATTATTCATACTCATATCTTTTGATTAATTTATAAATTCTATAATTATGTAAACAACATTGAGAGGCAGTCTAATTTAGTTTATTTCTACAGAACAATTTGACTTCTGATTAATTTAATAGTATAGTAACAATTTCAAAATGACAATTTGAACAAGCTAAATGCAAAGGAGTTTAGCGTTTCTTACCACCTTTAAGATTTAAATCAAATTTTTATTATTTCATGTTATTATGTTAAATAACTGCTGAAATAGCATCAGTATTACCTTTTTTAACTGCAATATGTAATGGACTCCATCCATCTTGATTAAGTGCATTTAGATTAATATTCTTTTTTAATAGAGCATTAAATGCCTATTTATAAATTGAAACATCTTTATCAAAACATGCCATACAATAATGTAAAGCAGTATTCCCTTTTTCATCTATTTAATTAGGATCTGCACCTTAAGATAGAATATCAAGTATTAAATGAATTTATCCTTTTACAATTGCTAAATTTAAAATTGATCCGAATTTAGCTGCATTTGTATTAACAGATGCTCCATTAAATATAAGAGCTTTTGCACTAAAATACTTTTCTTCTTATATTGCCAATCCTAAGGCTGTATTCTGTCTCTAATCTTGACAATCTACTATTTCTGGATAATAAGATATTAATGATAATAAAGCACCTATATCTTATTCAACAGCTGCCTTATGTAAGATTGTAGTGGAATACTCTTTATCTCCTCCTTATGGATTAGGAAGGATATTTAACTAAATATTAGAAAATTGAACAAGAAAGTCTTAAAAACTCATTCCTATTATTGAACTATACTCTTCATCACTAAACTTGATATCAATAATACTGATACATTAATTTGAGAGGGATCTTCAACATCTTTATTTTTTTTATCTTCTAAACAAGAGAACAATTTCTCTATGTAAAGTTTATTCACAATTGGATCTATTGGAGGGTTTAGATATTTAAACCAATCTAATCCTAATTCATTTAATTTCTTTAAATTTTAAAATTCTATTGGAATGTATTAGAATTCATTTGATTATATAAAGAGAGATCTTAAATTTATTAGACTTATTAATGGATAAAGTTTTTATAATCTATTTTTACTTAATTCTAATATCTCTAGATGTGATTGCCAATAAGATATCTTTTTTGGAAGTATCACTACTAAATTATTGCTAATTGAAAAATTTATGAGAGACTGAAAATTCTCGAATAAATCATCAGGTAACACTTTTATGAAATTTGAATTTAGGTTCATTATTTAGACTTTTTTCATTTAATATAATTCTTTTGGAAACAACCTAAACCTATTATCCTATATAGTATATTCAATTAATACTTGCAGATCTACCATTTAAATATTTGCAAAATCACTTTTAACTTTTGGAAACTAATCAATATTCTATTTTGCTAAGTTTAACAAATAAGTGTTAAAAGATATCTTTTTTGAATTTCTTCCTGAATTAACTTCCTTTGATTAATATCGATTGTATTAAACAGTTTCTGTTTATGCAACATGTTTTGTATATTCTCTATTTGGAGAATGATTGTTGCTTACAAACAACTTTGTTTTGAAAAAATTTGTCTTAGAACTATTGTATTTTTTTGATTGTTCAATAAGAGTTACTATGTTTGAATCCATTTTAGTTTAATATATAATATAAAATTATATCATTCATACATAGTTCATCCTTGGATTTCATTTAATTCTCCCATTAATTACCTAAAATCTTAATTAAACAATTACCACATATTTTCAGTATCACTGTAGTTAGTAACAGGGAATTTTGATACAAGATCTCTTTAAATAGGGAATATTTAATCAACTGTTAAAACAAATGCATCATCAACCATTCTTGGAATTAGCATTTGTAATAAAGGACTTGATTCTTCAAGACATGGATTTGTATTAACTTCTATCAAATATATATTGAAAAGTTCGTCTAAAAAGAAATCAAAACCAAAAATTTCCATACAAAATTTCCTATTTAGCTTATTAATTTTAGTTGCAACTGTTCTCATTGCAAAATATGCCATTTCTTTCATTTTCTCAACTATCTATCCTCTAAAATCGATTTTAGATTTGAAGTATTCAGAAACAGAATCAAAAGATAATTAATTTCCTAACTCTTATTGTCCATATTTATCACTATGTTGTTAAATAGCATTATTTGTTAAATGAATATAAATGTTCTCAACATCATTGGTCTTATACTCCTCAGATGCCATTCTAATATAGCCTTCTCTAATTTAATATGAAATGCATTTTATACTTAAAAAAATAACAACTCAAATCAGTATTAAGAAATACCCAAACTCGTATGTCAAATTTCCTATTTTTTATTAATAAGGGCTTCTCAATATATTTCTAAACAACAAATGATGATGTTTTCAATAAATATTAAACAACCTTTTATTATGTTTATCCATTCTCATCTTTATATGTTTCTATTTATTTTTCATGATACCCATATTAATAATCAATAAGCAAATCAACAAGATTATCTATTTCTTAAAATACATGAATTCCTCTTCCTCTATTTAATCCTGTAGGTTTTAATAACCATAAATAATCTGGACCTGTGAATGTATCTCTCATTTAAAATTCCAATTATTTTTTCTCTTTACTTGGAGCTATTCTCAATTTTTTCTTGATTTCATTGAGCTTATTCTATGCATCTTATTTATTTAATTGTTTAGATTCAGGAGCATTCTTATTGTAAAAATTATAAAAGGCAGACATATTAGATTCTACTAAGGGATCTGTAAAATCTATAGCAAAAGTGACAGGTATTATATCAAAAGGGTTCGATTTAAGGATCTAATTAAAAATTCATTTTACTTCACAGGCTGCTGAAACATTCACTAATAGATTCTTTTTATTACTAATTTCTGGATGAAATTCAAAGTGATTCAATAATTCTTTATGAGATTTATGCCAATTCAATTTAAAATATTTATATCCATGATTAGATTATTACCATCTAAAATTAGCTCTAGCAGTATTAGTAGTCTAATGCCAATCTGATCGAATATCAAATACTCGTTTAATTAATTCACTATTATTTCCTCCTCCTAAAAAATAAGAATAAATTGTTGGTTAGGATTATTAAATAGGTTCAATTGGAGTTATTGATTATAGTTTAGTTATTGATAATGTATGTCTGATATTTTTTTAGACTTTTATTGGAGGAGAAGGAAGTTCAACAAAAGATTTATCTTACTCCTTTTATCTCTAAGTATCTTTTGATAATAATTTGTTTTTTTATTTTAAAATCTTTTCAGTCAATTTATTATTTTCTTTATTTTATTATTCTTTTTCTCTTTCTTATTCTTTAATCATTTCTAATTCTCTCAGTTTATCACGACTCTTAGAACGAATATGATTAAATTTATTTTTTTCTAACTTAATTTATGGAGTTTTCAAAGCTGGTAAATTATCTGATGTTTAAGGTTAAGAAACTTATATCTTAATTGCAGATTTAGCTTCTCTTTTCTTACCTTTTTTGATTTCATTTTATATAAATTAATCAGCTAACACTTTAGCTAATTCTTATGGGCTTTTAAAATTAGGTAATTTAGCTAAAGAACTTGTGAAAAAGTTACTAAATGCCTTACTCTCTAAGCTTTCTTTAACTCTTTATAACATTTCCCAGTTTTCAGATTGTATTGTTTTGCTTTCTAAAATATATATTCATGTATATGATACTTTAAATAAAGTTTAAATCTATCTAAGAAGTATTTCTATTTGATCTTATATTAACTAGACTTGGTAATTGATCTAAACGATTATTTTATTGTTCTTCACTCATGAGTATTTATTAATAAATAATTGGTTTAATTGTTTGGATAAAAAATCACGAATTATCGTTGCAATAAATAAATAATTAATCAAAGCTAACTAACATATTCCCATAAGTTTTCATCATTCGAATAATTAAGAAATTGATATTTAGATGGTGATTTTTATTGATGGAATTGTCGATCAATTGTCAATTTAAATGCATCATCTATTTTATAAATTTATAAGATACCTATTAATCTTGGAAATAAACTTCCTAATAATTTACTAGTGACTTCTAAACTAGGATTTGTATTCACTTCAATTAACCATGGTTTAAAATCAACATCTAATATAAAATCCATACCAAAAATCTCAAAGCAGTTTTTTCTTTTATATTTATTAATCTTTCCTTTAACACTTGTAAATACTAATAAAGAAATTTATTTCAATTTTTGTATCACCTTTTTATATATTAAATTAATTATCATACTTCTTTTTTGAAATCTATTTTAAAATACTATGAAGCCTAATCAAAATTATATTGATTTCCTTCCTCAGTTTTTCCATACTAAGGATGAGTATATTAAACAGCATTATTTGTTAAATGAATATAATTTGATTATTTCTTAACATCAAATGTTTCTGTTGCCAATCTTAGTTACCCTTCTCTATATAGTAAATTATATTTATACTTAAAAAAAAAGAATCCTAAATTAGATGTTATCAACACATATGCTCTGATATCAAATTTCCTTCCTTTAATTAATAAAGGTTTCTCTATATATTTCTAAATTACAAATTATTCTGTCATTAATGTATTTATATAAATTATTTTTGTTACTATTTCATTTTTTTCATTTCTTTTTACTTCTAAAAGATGCTCCTTATAACCATTCTGATATCTATTATAAATATCAATAATTTCTTAAAGATTTCGAACAACATGAATCCCTCTTCCTTAATTCATATTCGATGGTTTGAATATCCATAGATTTTCACCAGCAAATAAAGTAGGATATTAATCCATTTTACATTCTAATTAAGTCCCATACTTAAATTAATATGATTTTATTGTTTTATCTAACTCTTATAATTAATTTTAAGGACAATAAGATCTATAGAAAGTTAAAAACTAAAATAAACCAGCTTTCAAATTCTAATTAGTACATTCTATTGCAAAACTTATTGGAATGTAATCTTAAACGTTAAGTTAGTTTTTCTAATTTTATAATTCAAGCATACTTCACAATATATCTTAAAATTTTAAGCCAAGTAATATTTATTTGAAATTTCAATATGAAACTCAAAATGATTAAGCATTTATGGAGTACTATCTTTGAAATTGCCAGCTAAAGTACGATATTCATAACCTTTTTCTGTCTCTTACCATTTAAAATTTATATTTTTAAGAGTAACATCTTTGACTTAAACCCAGTTTTATCTTTCATCTAATAACTATTTTATTAAATCATGATTATTTCCTTCTCCTAAATAATACAAATATGTATAAGGAACTGATCTTTTAGGTTGAGCCGATAGACATTTTATAGGAGGTTACACTGATAAACTTCTAGGTAAACTATTTTGCTTCTTAGGAACTGGTGGTAACTTTCTTTATTATGATTCCTTTCTCTCTTTCTTTGCTTTAAATTATGCTTTCGCCTTTTCTATTGCATCTGTTTCAATTTATTTGTAAACTATATTTCTATTTTTCTTTCTCAAATTATTCTCTGTTGAATATCTAGGTGGAAGCTAAGTACTAAAATATTATATTGCAAGTTTCTAAGCAAGCTCTCTAACACTTTAAGTTTAGAGTTTGTTAGAAGAGGTTATATATTTATCAAAGAATTAAGAGAAAGCATCTTAATTTTATTATGTAAGTTTTTATGCACTCTACATTTAATAAATTAATATTCTTCAATTATGCTGTTTATTTTATGATAAGAATACTGAGTATTTTTATATTTTATCAAATTATAATAATTGTGGAAATCTTCTATTTTGTTAAAATCAATTCTTTAAATAATATTCATTCATTTTTTTGTTAAATTAATTATTCATAAAATTTCGAATTCTATTAATTACAAAAATATTTCATTTTACTATTGACTCTCAAAAAAATAAGATTAAAAACCAATAAATTATTCATTACTTTAATTGATTTTTAAATCATCTATAGATTTTTTTTAGGGATTAAATTTGTTAATTAAATAATATTTAATAATTGATTCATCTAATTATAATTGTAATTATCATTCAAAAAGAAAAATAAGAACAATATTTTTATAGAATATAAATTTTTAAAAAAATTATTATAAATTGCTTTTTAAATGATAGAAATAATTCAAAAATATATATTAATAAATTAATGATTGATAATTATTTATATGGATCAGGCTCCACAGCTTCACATACTAATTTGTAGAGTCAAAAAATATAAATTATTTAGAAAATAATTGGATATAATCCTAAATTAGATAAATCTAAATTGAATTTAATTCCTTTAAGAAATATATTACCTGTTTCTATAAAATAACTGGATTTTATATTAACTAATCTAATTTAAAGTAATTTCATAAAATAACTTAGTTATTTTGGAAACTATTAAAAGAGATTTAGAAACACCTGATATTAGTTTAGACTAAATAATGGTAATTGAATAAAATCATGAATGTGGGATTCCATTTATATTTAGTAAAGAAGACAATACAACTGCTAGACAATGTGAAGATAAATTATGCAATTAATTTCAAGTTTTATGTAATTCTATTACTAAATTTTTTAGGTGAATAATTAGGATTTGATGAAGAATTTGCTAATTCTATTAGTTTGTAATAATTTTAGGATAGGCTTCTATTGAAAATTAATTTTTAATAAGATGCTTTAGAAGAGAATAGCGACACTTTATTGTAATTATTACAAATAACAAAATCATAACCAATATTTAACAATGAAAATACTTATCTTTATCCAATATAACCTCCAAGTTTTATACTTAAAAATCTAAATGAAGATGAAATTGTTGTTAAAATATCAAAAATACTAGATGAGGAATTTTATGATTTACGAGAAATATCAATAATTGAAGAATTTAATAACAAACATCTTCCACACTTATATGGTTATCTTAGATATTCTGACATAATTATTTTGTTTATGAAAAAACATGATTGTACATTTAATTGGATTGCAACTGAATTATTTAAAAAAAGAAAAGAACTTAAATCAGAATAGATTGAATAAATTATATATAAAACTTATGGAAGTATGATACATGCTTTGAGTTATATTCATTCAATAGATTTAATTCATAGAGATTTAAAACCAGAAAATATAATGTTTGATTTATTCTAAAATACAGAGGATATAGCTGAACTTTAACAAATACCATTTAATTGTGTTTTGATTGATTTTGACAGATCTATTTTAGTTGATAATGTCCATTCTAAAAAAAAATCTTAATATAAAGGAACTCCATTTTATAGACCTCCTGAAGGAATACAGGATAAATATCATTCAAGTTATGATATTTGGTAGTTAGGATTTATGTGGTTTCTAATATCAAAATAATTCTTCTACAGAAAAAATATACAAAAAAGTTCTGATAAGTAATTATATGACAATATTTGTATTATGAAAACAAAAACGTTTGAATTTAATTAAAAGATAATTGATTTATAAGAATAACTTTAATCAATAGATACGAGAAGAATTGACGATAAATAGAAAGAAAAAGAAAAGAAAACTTTATAAACTAATATTTAAATTTAATTTGATTAAAGGAAGCAGTTATACAATCATTATATTTAATTAATTGATGATCAAGAGAATTTTATTACATATAAAATTCAACTTTAAAATCTAATTAAAAAAATGATAGATTTAGAACCTAAAAATAGAGCAACTATTTATGAAATATAAGCAGTATTTAATACACTAATTGATTGAATAAAAACTTATGTTTTTTAAATTTAAATTATAATGATATCATTATTTCTAAATCAATTATTTTTCAAGTTATTTATATTTTGTTGTTTTTTTTCCTTCATTTAATTAAAAACTATTGAAGTGACTGGGTTAGGATAATAGTGAATAGGTCATTTCATTTTTGATTTATAATTAATCTAAATATTATAGTCTTTCCATCACTCTTCTTTTTTCACTTAGAAATCTTTTCTGTCTTTATTCTTATTAATCACTTATTTCAACATAACCTTTCTTCATTTATAATTGATTTCTTCCATCTTTAAATCTTACTTAAACTTCTGTTTTTTATTAATTCCCAGGATTACTAACAATAAACATTCCATTATAAACTAAAGGTCTTCTTTCAGTAGTACCTTCAGAACCAAATCCTTCTTCACTTTATAATTTCTTTACAATATAAGATGATTCTGAAGGATCACCAAAAGAAGATTATTATTATAATTTTTGTATTTCTTCTTTCATTTTTCTATTCTCTTATATTATTTTTTCTACGTCATCATTACTAAGTTATATCTCTCTCAATCTTTCATTTTCTTCTTATATTTTCATCAATTTAAAATGTAAATCATTTTAGTTTAATCCACTTCTCTTCATATTTAATAATGATTTTAAATAGTCAATCTTTAAAATATTTATAAAAAGATACCTCTTTTATAAGTTTATTAACTAAAACTTAATCATTAGCATTAAATTTATTAGGTTAAATTTTTATAGTTACATTTTTTGCTCTTTAAGCAAATTTTAAACTACTAACAGTTTCATCTATATTATATATATTTGGGGCAATATTAACTATAATATGTGTCATTGTATTTCCACCTAAGCTATCTTATAATAATCTTGTTAATTTTGATTCTCTATATGGAATAGGTAATTTTTATTTATTTTTATTATTTTAAGATAAATTTTAAATAACTTTACCTAAAGTAGTTAATGATTAATTAATATTTTTTAATTCAACAAAATGATCATTTGAAAGTACTTCTAATTTATTTATTTTTTCAGATCCAGCTAAATCACAAAGATTTAATTTGGATTTAAAAAGAACTCCATGTTTATCTACTTTATTAGTCTCAATAATCAATTAAAATATAGTATGACTTCTACTAGATTTTAAATTCATAGTAGTTTAACGAACAATTCTATTTCTTTCTCCTCTTTTCATTAATGTTAAACAATCATGATAATTATTGACAGCATATTCTGTTAAATTCTCTAAAAATAATTAAATCTATATACTAAAATTTATGCTTACCCACATATATTCCATCAAGTTTGCTTTCATGTAAATTCAATTATACAGGTACTTTATGATCTTATAATAAATCATAAATCTTTTCATTATAAATCTAAAGAAAAGAACAATAAATATAAAAATTTTTTGGTAAATTATCGAATAATCCAAAGATAACTCTAGGTATAATCCCAGCAAATGAAATATCACTTTTTAAATCAGCACAGTAAGTTGCTTAATGGTTTATACTAAAATTCATTTATGATTCCCAATCACTTCCAAACATTGTATATGTTTTACCTTATATTAATCAAATATTTTACCACTCCCTGTTTAACCATATGCTAAAATAGTTCCATTGAATCCATCAAATGCTTATTTAATACATTCATTTAGATTATTATAAATCTCAACTTATAAAGATTAATCATCAAAAACTCTATCAAATTCTTACTTTAAAATTTATGTTGATTATTCAAACACAACGAACTTTTTCTAAAATAATATATAATATTGTTAAATTTTACATTTTCACTTTTTACAATTGTCTCTTAACCTTACTCTTTCTTAAGCAAAGGACGAATTCTTATCGATACTTTTATAGGCTATTTTCTTTCCTCCTGAACCTATTTACTTGATTATTTGGATTGGTACATTATAATAATTTTAAATTATTGATTATTATTATAATCATTCAATCATAGATGTCAATTTAATAATAAATCAGAAAACTAGAACAAATTTATTGATTCCTTCATTATTTTCATATATAACTCCTTCAACCATATAAATTATAAATTTTTAATATATTATTTTTGTTTTTCAACCATATGTGAAGTAGTAAATATAGTCTCACTAATTAAGGATGATGATTACTTTATAAAGTAATCAAAATTAAGATTATAATAAATACATTACATTATAAATACTATAAAAAACAATGAAAAGTATTCAAGGCGAAAAGATAGAGATCTAACTTCATTAAAATAAAAAAAAAGCATTTTAATCACTGGAATAAAAATCTAAGGTAAATCAGATTTTCAAATGATGGCTCTTTATCAAATAGAAAATTTAATTGACAGAAGCTAGTTTTTTTTACTAAGAAATAATATCAAATATTTAAAAAATAAAAACAGAATAACAAATAGAGGTTTAGATTTTTTAACAATTGAAAAAAAATTATAAATAATAATCTGAATTAAATGTAGAAGTATGGTAAACGGTTTAAAGGTATTATTATCCCTGTACCTAAAATAAAAGGAGAATTAATATTAATATAACAAGATGTAAAATTACCTGACTATTGTAAATTTAGCCTAATAAATAATATGGAAACATTTAAAAGAATGAATAGATCAAATCAAGAAATTAAGAAAACATGTTTATTATTTAACATGAAAGGTTAATTTCCATCAGAAAAATTAAAAATCTTTATGGAAAATATCAAAAGATAGATAAAGAATTATTACTTCTTGTTAATGGTTTTGGTTGGAAATTACGAACAATAAGTCTTAAATACCTATGAAGTAGAAAGGATTTTATAAATGTGGCTAACTGAATTAGACGATTATAAATTATGATGATAAATAAGTTTAATAAAATTACAAATATTATTTTTTGTAAATTTGATTAATATGAATAATTTGATGTTGAACAAATTACTGGTTTGAATAAATTTGAAGAAAGCAACTTTTAATTCGATTAATTAAAATAAAAAGAAAAAAGGACTTATTCAGAATTTTATAATTAATTAAAATAACTTTGCTAGTTTCATTCAGCTTATTTATAAGATATATTAATATCGGCTAAATAAATAAAAGGGAAAATTATTATTAGATTTTGCTTAATCAAGATTGAATATATATATTTTTTTTAAGGAGAAAAGTTTTAAAACTTTATTATTTTGTTGTTTTTATGCAATTGTTTTTTTATTTTATTAAATTATCCAATTTTAAACCCTAATAAAGCTATCATTCATATATATATTTACAGACTTGAAGATTAATAAGTAAAAATTCTATGTAATTAATAAGCAAGGTTTAACAATTTCATAAATAATTTAACACTATTAAGGATTACTCGATAAAATTTTGAATCAATAAAACAAAAAACGTTGTCAAATCTTCATCTTTTTTACTTTCAACTACCTCATAAAAAGTTCTTAATATATCTTAATAAATTGAAGATTGCAACTTTGAATGTTTCAATTTAGATAAATTACTTTTTTTTTTGAATTATGCTTTGTCACAAATAAAAATTAGATCTTATTATGATTTTGTTATTATTTGTTAAATTTATTATAATATTTTCAAATATCAAAATTTCCTTTATTATAAAAATTATAATATTTAAATTGTAAATTAAACTTTTTAAAAGTGAATTCATAATTATTCAAATTATTTTATTAATAAAATGGATGTTCAAGCAATTCATTTTAAGTTATAATTCACGTCTATTAAATTTTTAACAAGAATATAAAGTTTTAAATGTAATAAATTTTAATATTAAATTGAAAGTATCATGATAAAAGACTCGAATTTATCAATAAAGTCTGTTTTTAACGATGATGTAGAATTTCAATGGGAATCTAGTTAATCTAAGGAATATAGCACTACTTTAAAAGGATTATTCCATATTTATAAAGAAGAGAAGAGTCATTATAAACTTTTAGAAGTCTCATTTAGTTTACCTTATCTGATAAAATAGTCTAGAAAAAAAGTATATTAATATTTAAGGTTAGGGTTTAAAAGTTCTTGATATTACTAATGCAGTAATAGAGAAGGTAAGAAACAATATAGTGGGAGAAGGATTATTAATTAAGAAAAATAATTTAAAGTTTTATATGTATGGTTAGATATAGAAATGGATTGAATCATTGTAGGAAATTTGCATTTAAATTAACTTTCATGAGGATTTCTTTTTATATAGATTAATTTCTAATAGTTAACAATCAAAAGTATAAATATTTTTTTTAAAGGCAGGTGTATTTTGCAGAAGATAGGATCACTAAGATTGATTATGCAATAAAAGTATTTGAAAAGAATCAATTTGAACAAGAAATTGGAGCCAAGGCTTTGAAACAAGAGATAGAAATTTTAAGGCTTTTAAAAAACGATTATTTCACTAAACTATTAAAAACATATGAAGGAAATTAAGCAGTTTATTTAGTATTTGAATAGTAAAAGGGAGGTGACTTATAGAGGTTTTTAAAAGAAAATGATAATACTTTACCAGAAAAAACAGCATTTCAAGCTATAAAATAATTGTTAGAAGGAATAAGTTTAATGCATAACCTCAATTATATGCATCGGGATTTAAAACCAGAGAATATATTACTGAAAAACAAGGATTCCTTAGAAGATTTGATTATAAGTGATTTAGGTTTGGCAGAGAAGGTTAATAATGAAAAAAATTAATTATTTACTCTTTGTGGCACTCCAGGTTATGTGGCTCCAGAAGTCTTAAAGAAATAACCGTATGATTAAAAAGTTGATATATATGGAATAGGAATAATTCTATACACATTATTAACAGGGAAAAATCCATTTTAATCAATTATTAAAGATGAAACTCTTGAATTAAATATGATTGGAAATGTAAATACAGATAAGATAAACTGTTCTGAGTTAGGAAAAGATTTATTGAAATAATTATTGTAATTATCTCCAAATAGACGACCTAATGCTTAACAAGCACTTAGACATTAATATTTTAGAAATTAATCTTCACTACAAATATTCCCAAAATAAAGCATTATTATCTCTAAACCAAAGTTTGATTCTATTCATAGTGAATAAGTCTCTCCTCTAACACCAAATCTCAATTTTGATAAATTTAAAGCTACTCAAAGTAAAAATTATCTTTATATTAAAGTTTAACCATAATATCTAAGATAAGCCACTCCTAGATTAGATATTTATTAAAAAAATAATGCTAATTTAATGAAAAAATTCAGAAAAGCTTCGTGAAATGAATTAATTGAATTATTTAAGATGAAAATAATATTATTATGTATAAATAAAGAATTACTAATTGTATATATTATTTTCAAAATAAAATACTTTATTAAATTTTAATAATTAAATGAATTCGATTATAAAAAGATTTAAAATCTTAAAAACCTTATATAAATATTAAAAGTGTTCAAAGATATTAATAATTAAATTATGTTAAAATTGCATTTTTTGAGAGGATATACATTCTCAGTTAGGTAAGTTCATACTTAAGTTGCAATCGTCGGAGGTGGAACAGCTGGTTTAAATGTAGCAGCCCAATTAATAGCAGATGGACATGCAATTCCATAATAAATTAGAATTTTTGAACCTATGAAAATGCATACATATTAGCCAGGTTGGACAATGGTTGGTATGATATAAATGTAAAAAAAAAGGTGGTGGTTTATATGACATCAATAAAACCTTGTAACCAATGGAAAAAGTTTTACCGAAAAATGTAATTGTTTCAGATAGTCCAGTTACAAGAATAAATCCTGAAGAAAATTAAATACAGACATTTGATGGAGAAAAATACACTTATGATTAATTAGTTGTGGCTACAGGAATAAGAACAGATTTTGATTAGATTAAAGGTAAACTTCATAATAAAAAATCATTTTAGGAGCAAGAAAATATTTAGAAGACCCAAATTCTCCAGTAGCATCAATCTATCATTTTAAATATGCTTCAAAAATGAATAGATTAGTTGATGAATTTGAAGGTGGAAAACTTGTATTTTCTGAACCTTAAATGCCTATAAAATGTGGAGGAGCTCCATAAAAAATAGTCTATTTGTCTCATGATAGACTTAGAAAGAGAGGAATCAAGTCTGACATACATTTCTATAAAACATCTGCACTTATTTTTGGAGTACCAAAATATGCTGAAATTTTAACAGAGGTATGCAAGACCAAATAAATAAATTGTCATTTTAAATAGAAATTGGTTGAAGTTTAAGATCACATTGCCATATTTGAAGATTAAGACACAAAAGAATTATAATCTGTACCTTTTGATCTTTTACATTTAGTACCACCACAAGTATATAAATTAATTAATTATTTTATTATAGGTTCCTGGTAAATATATTGCTGCTAGTGGATTAGGTGATGCTGCAGGATATTGTAATGTACATCCTGGTACTTTATAACATATAAAATATAAAAATATTTGGTCATTAGGGGATTGTTCATCATTACCAACATCTAAGACTGCAGCAGCTGTTATGGCTCAAACACCTGTCTTAGTCAAAAATTTGATAAGAACTTGGAAAAAAGGATTAGAACCTCTTCCAGAATATTAGGGTAAAAATATTATATATCGATTCAGGTTATACATCATGTCCTATATTTACTAGTCAAAGTACGTTATTGTTAGCTGAATTCAAATATAACTCTGAATTAGATGAAACATTTCCTATATTTTAATCAAATGAAAGTCGATTAATGTTTTATTTAAAAAAGGATTTCTTTCCTTTTGCTTATTGGTATTTTATGGTTAAAGGTTTGTGGGGAGGAAGAGATGGATTTAGATTTTTTAAAGGAGCTTGAATATCAAATTTAATCTAATAATTATATTTATATTATAATCCAAGTTTTCAATGATCTAATAAAACATTCAACTTCAATAAAACTGGCCCAAATAATTAGATATATCATCTCTCTATAGTGAAGATAACAAATCATCTCATATCAGTAATCATGTAAATCTCTATTATACCCAGTTAGATAATACTTCTAAGATAATTTCACCACTTTAATCTGTGTCAAATTCTCTTATTAAGGAACTTACCAAATCTGAATGTTAAAACCAAGAGTTTATGAAAGGATTAAGTGGATCAAAATACTTATCATCTTATCCTCCTAATTTTGAAAATGTTATGAATACCAATGGATTTGAACCTAAATTTCAATAGGAAATGTTTAAACCCATAATTGATACTAAAATTTTATAAACCATTTAAACTATTTCAGATGAAGAACATTAAACAATTAATTTAGATTAAATTTATATATAGCTTACTGAAATTGAATCAAATTTGTCATAAACTAATTTTTAGATATAATTATCATCTTTGAATGTCATTTTTGAAAAAATATCAGAATAAATTAATTATAATATCGAGAATGAAATACCTTATTAAAAACAAATCATATGCTAACTTAGAGTATCAGTATTATTATCTAAAATCTATAAGTAAATGGGAGATTTTAAAAATTCCATTTATTGGTTAAAAAGAATTAGAGAAAATTATAGTGTTTATGATCCTAATTTTACTGGTAAAATAATGCTTGAATTATCAAAATTATATTTCTTAAATTTTTAAATAAGAGAATCATAAGAAATACTACATGAAGCTTTATTATACTTTGAAAAAATCTAATGGAAAGCAGAAATAGCGAAAACTTTACTTTTGTAAGCACGTATGTGTGCTTGGATGAGTATTAATTTTAAAAAAATTATTATTAGATAACTTTGAATTAGCAACAAAATTAGCTTATGGAGCAATCTCTTTATTAAGGGAAACATTTATCAATGATGAAACCAAATTAGATCAAGCTTATTATATCTTGGCTGAATGTCATTATGTATCTAAGAAATATGAAACAGCAAAAGAGTTTTTAATCAAAGTATTACAATTAAAATTGTAAAGTGGAAAAACAGAATATCATTATTCTTTACTTGAAACTTACAATTTACTTGGATTAATACATGCTTAGATATAGGATCTAAAAAATTCTTATTTTTATTTTTGTTAAGCCTATAAATGCATTAAGTAAAACTATAATAATTATATTTATAGTACTAATTCTATATAAAAAGGACAGATTTTAAATAACATTTCTGTAATTTAAAAATTTCTTGGATAATTAGAATTAGCAGGAAAATGCTAGAATGTAGCAAATAAAATTTATAGTACATTCTTATCAGAAAATCATCAAATATTTAAAAGATTAGTACTAAATTCTATTATTGAATCTTTATAGTGAAATTATTTATTTATTTTTCAAACCAAGTTTATTATTTATTAAGAGAATTTAATTATTTAATATAACTCTATAATTTAAATTTTATAGAATGAATCAATATGTTAAAAAATGCATGAATTTCTCTTTGTTTTCAAATGTTGAAGAGGTTGGTCTTCCTAAATCTTTTCTGACTCCTGGTTTTATCAAAATTTCCATAAGTATAGGACCATCATTTCGATTTAACTATGAAACAAAATTAATTAATGAATACTCTCTCCATTCCTTAAATAATTTCTGCTTTTGTTTAAGCTTAGAAGGCATCTTTATATCCACATCCCAAAGCAATTTAAGTAAAATTAACTAAAGGATTACTAGTTGGTTAAGCACCAACAGAATCATGTGCTTAATTGTTAAACAAAATATGTTTATAATTTATTGGGCCTATATTACCAATTTAAGCTAATGCACCCATATGCATCATCATGGCACCATCTCCATCTAAACAAAAAACTTGTCGACTCTTTTTCACTTAAGCAATTCCAAGTGCAATACTGGAAGCATGACCCATTGATCCAACTGTTAAAAAATCTTATTCTCCTGTTTAATTTAAACGTTATCTTAATTCAAATAATTCTCTACTCAAAAAACCTGTGGTACTAACACAAACATCTAAAGGTCTTGTATTTTATATGACTTCAGTTAAAGCTTCTTCTCTTGTTAATTGATAATCATTTTTAGCAACATTCTTCAATTTATAATTAGTGAAGCATTATCTTTTAACAAGTAAAGCATAAGGTCCATTTCTAAACAAATATAAATAAATATAGAATTACCTAGTTTTCATAGAATAGAATGCATTATCAAGTGCTTCTGCAGCTCCTTCAATATAATCTGGTAAAACATCATATTACATTCCCATCTCAGTTAGAATACCATTCATTCTTTTGCCTTAAACTAAATGTTATGGTTCATCTTTTTTTCCTGGTTCTCCTCTCCACCCAATTAAATATAACATCGGAATTCCATAAACTTTAGGATGAGCTAATGACATATAAGGATTAACAATATTTCCAAGACCACTATTTTGTAAATAAACACAAGGAATTTTTTTAGTTGCTAAATAATATCCAGCAGCCATAGAGACAGCAGTACCTTCATTAACAGTAATAACATGTTATCCTGGAAGGGCATTATCCTATAGAATATTTGATGTATGTACTTAAACATATGCACAGAAATCTTTTAATAAAGAATCAGGAACTCCTGCGTAAAATGAAACTCCATGCTTTGACAATTCTTAGTAAAATTCTGAAGGTTCAAGAAAATCTCTTTATAATTCAAGATACGGTGGTTCGACTGGTTCCCTAGATTTTGTATTAAAAAATCTCCTTGCAAGTTAGCGGCAAAACATATTTTGTAATAATATTTTAATCAAATAAATCTAGTAAATGCTCTCCTATCTTTTTTAAAATATTAAATAATGTATTCTGCATTGAACTTTGGATAATAATTCCTATAGGAACATATAGTGTCTATTTCAATTAACGCTTGTTTTTTCTTTTGTTCTAATCTATTAACAATTTCATTAACAATATCAAATTCATGATTGATATCCTATTCACTAATCTAACTTTAATTATCAAGCATGATATCGCCACTAAAAGATTTGCTTAATTGATCAATTTCATTTTTATCAAAAGATAATTCTTATTTAACCTATTGCTAAGCTTTTTGAATTTTAATTAAATTTAAATTATCTTTGCGAATATTGTTTCTTAAAAATGGTTATCTGTCCTATTTATTATTCATGATCCTATTGATTAACAATATTTTATTAGGATAATAATGTGATTTTGGACAATCATTAGCTAAATGACTACTTGATTAACAACAAAAACAACTTAGGTTAATTAAATTATATTATCCTAATAATATTTGATCTCTCAATTAACAGAAATATTAAAAATCAAGAGGAAACTATTATAATAATTATATAAATTCTAATCTCTTTAATTTATATAATTAAGATATAGTTGTACTCTTTGCTGATAAAGTTCTTGAATTTCCTGTTAGAAATCCTAATTCTCCAAACATAGAATCTTATTCAGCTTAATAGAAAACCATGTCTTAATCTTCAAATTGGAGATACAATTATATATGTCCTATACTTAAACAATAAAGACAATCATCATCATTATTTCCATTCAAACTACATAGATTTTGTTTAAAAATCATTTCTCCATCACAATACATCTATTCACTTATAAGATATGCAATTTTCTTTTAAAAACTTTTAAATTATTATCAATATCAATACTCTAAAGAAAATTAACTTGTCCAAAATGTTCTCTTAAATATTAAACCATAGGATTGCATAATTACTTCATCCTTTAATTAGGGTCCCAATTAATTTATTATTTCGATTTATTCATTAAAATCTCTTACTTTTTCGCTAAACATAAAACTAAAGAATCTTCTTACTTTTTATTAAGTTTCCAAATCAATCTATATAGATAATAATTAAATTACATTTTTGTCTTTCATAAATCGATTTATATCTGTCATTTTTTTATCAAATTACATATTATGATGAGTGATTTCTGAAAACACATTTTAAAATGCACTTACAATCATAGCAAATATAACACAAGCAAAAATCATAGTTATTATTGATACAAATATTTCTAAAGGATTCTTTCCTGTTACATCTCCATATCCAACTGTCAACATAGTTGTTAAAGCCCAATAAAATGAATATTCATATTTCACAATTATTGGTAATGAATAAATATCATTTTATAATCCAGATTAAATAAGCCATGACCCATAATCTTGTCTTTAATTTATCCAATAATCTCCAGCTGCATAAAACAAGCAAGCAAAAAAATTAACCAAAAAAAATATAGTCAAAATTAATTTCAATATTTAATAGAATGCTCTTAATTTTCTTTTTACTTATAACAACTATTCCACTTAGGAATCAACTAAAGTTACATAATAATATTTAAAATAAAAAAAATATGGAACCCATATAAGAAAAGCATAATGATCTCGAAATGCTACTTATAAAATTAATGATAAGATTGCTATGATATCAAATAGAAATTCTTGGGTTACATACCTAACAAAAATACTATGTTTATCCAAAACCAGCTATCCTTTATCATAATATCCAGTATTTAAAGTCATAAAAAGATCAATCATCAAAAAAAATATCATTATGTATAGAAATACAGCAATATTTTCAATCCGCAAATTTTCTGATAGAATCTAATTAACTAAAAATTCAAATTACTTCATATCCAAAAAACATAAATACAGGTATTAAGTAAAAATAAATTATTACTATGAAACAAATAAATAAACGCCAAGAAAATATTGTCCAATGATCAGGATTAAAAGATGGGAATGTATTAAAATAAGCTTCAATTTCATTTGTATAGCGTAAGAATTTCTTTGTTGTTAAAGGAACATCTTCAAGTAATGCACTATTTTCATCCTATTAAGTGTAGTTAAAAGTTTGCATTTACACATTTTTACTTATTCTTCTAGTTTCTGGTTATTATTTTTTAAGCAAAGGTTGTTCCAAAGTTATGAACATTATAAAATAATAATTAATATAATCTTAATATTCTTTATTCATTCATTTTTTTAGTTAATAATATTGTTGTCATACGTTAGAAGTTTATGGATATTAATATTATTGTATTGATGAAAAATTCATTATTATACTTAAAATAACAAGATAAAATATATCAACAAAAGTATTTTCCTAAAAGCGTTTGCAAAGAATCTAATGAAATTGGTTTAGATAAGATTTCATGCATACCACTCTCATGAGCCTATTTGGCATTCTCTTATCCATTATATGCAGAACACATTACTATAACGGTACTTTATTTTTCATTACGAAGAATTTCTGAAATCTCTAATTAATTTATGCATCAATACTTCACTACTAACAACAAATCCATTCTTTCCTGGCATTTCAATGTCCATAAAAATCAATCTAAAGATTTTACAACAAGTATTGTGTAATTTTTGTTTGACTTTTCTAATTGCAGAATCCCCATCATATGCACTATCTGCTTTCCATCCATAGGCTTATAATAATGCGAGTAATGCTATATGATTAAAAGGTACATCATCCACTATAAGAATCTATGGACATTTGCATTATTAATTTAAAAACATTTTTGAGGAAACATAAACTTTTTAAACTGAATCTTTAGTATTAGAACCATTTTCATCTATGTCTTTTAAAGATAATCCAACTTCTTGAATTCCTGTCTTCATTTGTTCGTTTATACAAAAACTTACAACTGTATAAAATCCTTTCTCACTTTTAATTTGTAATTCTCCATCTCCACTTAAATATTTTACTATTCCTTTCGATACTCTTAGACCCAATCCTAATTTATTTGAAACATTTTATTATTATTATAAACGATTCTACATATCTAACATTTATTCACTACTTATTCCTTCCCCATTATCCCAAACAGAAAAAATATGTTAATTATCCCTTTTTTTAACTGAAAGTACTATTCTACCACCTTACTTTGTAAATTTAACTGAATTATTCATTAAATTTACTAAGATTTAAGTAATTCTTATTTTATCACTGTAAATTTGTAATTAATTATTAAAATTTAAGATTAATTCAATTTATTTTTATTGACATTCTGATTGAAATAATTCTTTTAAATCATTAAATAAGTCTTTAACATAGAATTTATCTAAATTTAATTTAAAATCTTAACATTCAATTTAAGCATAATCTAATATGTCATTAATTTATAATAGTAATCTTTTACTTGATGTAATTGCAGGCAATAAAAAATTAGAATAAAGATTCTCCTCTATTTTTTAACTCAAAATTTACAATAAAGGTAAAGAACAATTTAATGGTGTTCTTAATTCATGANTAAAATAACAAGATAAAATATATCAACAAAAGTATTTTCCTAAAAGCGTTTGCAAAGAATCTAATGAAATTGGTTTAGATAAGATTTCATGCATACCACTCTCATGAGCCTATTTGGCATTCTCTTATCCATTATATGCAGAACACATTACTATAACGGTACTTTATTTTTCATTACGAAGAATTTCTGAAATCTCTAATTAATTTATGCATCAATACTTCACTACTAACAACAAATCCATTCTTTCCTGGCATTTCAATGTCCATAAAAATCAATCTAAAGATTTTACAACAAGTATTGTGTAATTTTTGTTTGACTTTTCTAATTGCAGAATCCCCATCATATGCACTATCTGCTTTCCATCCATAGGCTTATAATAATGCGAGTAATGCTATATGATTAAAAGGTACATCATCCACTATAAGAATCTATGGACATTTGCATTATTAATTTAAAAACATTTTTGAGGAAACATAAACTTTTTAAACTGAATCTTTAGTATTAGAACCATTTTCATCTATGTCTTTTAAAGATAATCCAACTTCTTGAATTCCTGTCTTCATTTGTTCGTTTATACAAAAACTTACAACTGTATAAAATCCTTTCTCACTTTTAATTTGTAATTCTCCATCTCCACTTAAATATTTTACTATTCCTTTCGATACTCTTAGACCCAATCCTAATTTATTTGAAACATTTTATTATTATTATAAACGATTCTACATATCTAACATTTATTCACTACTTATTCCTTCCCCATTATCCCAAACAGAAAAAATATGTTAATTATCCCTTTTTTTAACTGAAAGTACTATTCTACCACCTTACTTTGTAAATTTAACTGAATTATTCATTAAATTTACTAAGATTTAAGTAATTCTTATTTTATCACTGTAAATTTGTAATTAATTATTAAAATTTAAGATTAATTCAATTTATTTTTATTGACATTCTGATTGAAATAATTCTTTTAAATCATTAAATAAGTCTTTAACATAGAATTTATCTAAATTTAATTTAAAATCTTAACATTCAATTTAAGCATAATCTAATATGTCATTAATTTATAATAGTAATCTTTTACTTGATGTAATTGCAGGCAATAAAAAATTAGAATAAAGATTCTCCTCTATTTTTTAACTCAAAATTTACAATAAAGGTAAAGAACAATTTAATGGTGTTCTTAATTCATGACTAAATGAGTTTAATAAAGCTTATTAAAATTTATATCTGAAAGTTAGTTCTTTGAGTTCTTCTTTATTTGTAATATTCTCTATTACAAATAAATATACTGGATCTTTAGGTTTAGCCTATATTTTGACTTCATAAACTTTTATTTAAAAGTGTTTCTTTTTTATTTTAAGATCTTAAACTACATGAAATTAGAACATATGAGTAGTTTCGGATGCTTTTGATTAACTATCTTATCCATTACTCATTTATCGATGAATATGAGATTAAAATTCATTCATAACAAATTAAACATATGAATAAGTAGCTTCATCTTAAATACTAGATTGAAAAGACTCCCTATTTTTTAAATTGACTTTTAAACGATCAGAAAGCCAATTGGTTTAATTTAAGATTCTTCCAGAGCCTACTTAATAATGGTTAGCAGAACTTTATTTAAGTTTTCGAATAGGGACTATGGGAGATTTATATTTAGAATTGAGGTGAGTTTTAAAAGAGTTTAGCTCAGCACTATAAAAATAATATAAAGATTTACTTAGATAATAATTAATCTAAGGAATTAACTATTTAATCGGTTGACTAAACCATTAAATAATTTAATAGTTTTCCATTATGATGGAGTACATGATAATTTTTATCGATTAATGCTAATCCATAAGGTAGACAATTTAGAAGATCTTCATCTAAAGTAAAATTCACATTTTTTTCTGGAGGTGGTGATTTCTCATCTAATAAATCTTATTATTAATGATCTCCATAACTTAAATGAGCATGAGGATTTGTTTATTTTTATGAAGGAGTATTTGGTATTAAAGGAGGTTTTAGTTATGATAATTTGTCTAGATGTAAAAGTGTATGGTTGAGAGGTTACCATAGAACAAACAAAATAAATTAAAAAGTAGCAAATTAAGAATAAAATTAGATCATTATCCTTACAGAAATGTACAAGCAGAGTAGGTGTGTTAAGATTTAATAACATTTATTGTTATTTTTTAAAATGTTTTCAATTGACAGTAAGTAGATTAGTAGAAAGTAATTGTTTATGTTGTGAACATTGTGAAATATTATTTCCAATTAAAAAATAATATGAAATTGTACAACTGAGTTGATTATGTCCTCTCTCTATTTTGAATATATGAGACAGAAAATTACTAAATTCAATATTATTCCAATTGCATTCTCAATTACAATCATCATATCCTTACTCTCTTGATTTCCAGCTTAAATCAAACTTATTAAATTTTATAACATCAATTAAGTCAGCAATAGCTTTGTTTTTAATTGCATTAATATAAATTTGGATAAAAAAATTAATTATTCAAATTGTATGACTTTTGTAGAGAAATGTTAATTTCTAAATTCTAAAATAAACAAATACTGATCTTCCATTAAGAAAATTAATAAAAAAAAAAACTATTATTTTTAATTTAATTCAAAATGAAAAATAATTATTCAAATCTGTTAGAAGAAAATACCAAATTAAAACAGAACATTGTAGAATTGGAAATGACACTTTCAGAATTAATTCGTTAAGATTCTCTAATTGAGAAATGGACTGTGATGAAAAATTTTGTACTTGTTTCTACAGAAGTTGAAAGATTATCAAAAGCTTATGTTGCTTTAGAAAAGCAATATTAATAATTATAGAATACTAAAGAATCAAATAATAATGATTCTAAAATTAAGTTATTTATAACATAATTAGAAGAGTTAAATTAAATTATGATAACACAATAGAAAAGAATTGAAGAGTTGAATAAGAACAATCATTTATAATAATAATTGGTTGATGAAACTAATTAAAAAATGGAAGTAATATAAGAAATGAATAAGCAATTAAAAAATAATGAATCAAATATACAATTAGAGAAATAGAGTTTGTAGAAATAATTATTGGAATCTAATAATGAATTGAATAATGTAATGTAAACATTAAAAGAATGTGAAGACATGTTTAAAAATACATTAACTAAATAAGAAACAGTAATTGAGAATTTATCACAATAAAATAGTTTTTTAAATAATGAAAACCTAAAGAAAGATAAAACAATAGAATAATTAATGAAGAAGAATAAAGATTTGATTCAAGATGTAGAAAGAATAGATAAAAAATATATTGAATAATCAATTTAAATGAAGAAAGTTTCTAAAATGTTTGAATCACTAGAATAAGAATACAAAAACTATTAGTAATAATAATAAGGTAATCAATCAGAAGTATTAATAATTCAATATCTTAGTTCTACACATTAAGTAAAAGATTAGAGCATAAAAATGAAATATTAGTTGAAATTGAGAATAGATTCGACAAATTAAGTATTGTGGCTAAAACTTAAGAGACTCAATTAAAAGAAAATGAACTCAAAATTAAATAAATGAGACAATATATTATGGAATAATAAGTACTTTTGGATGAGTTAAAAAATACAAGTAAAACTAATAAATAGGATAATGAAAATGAAATTAAAGAATTGAATTTATAAGTTAAGAGACTTTAAGAGAAGTTAAATGAAATTACTCAGGAATCAGATCATAATAATAATTTGAAAGATAAATTTCAATAGTAGAATGAATTGAAAGACAAAGAAATTGATAAATAAAATAAATTAATTGAACAAATGAAAAATGAATAAAAATCATTATAAAAAGTTGTTTAAGATTTGCATCAAACTCTAAACATCTAAAAAGAGCTATATTAGAAAGCATAGGCTGATTAAAATAATTTGAGAGAATAACTACAAGCCTTAAAGGAAAATAATTAGACTTTGGATTTACTTAATGTAGAGGATTAATGTTTATCTTTGAAAAATGAATGTTAGTAATTAAGAAATGAGGCTTAATATTACAAATATTAAAATTATCAATATGTATCATAGATTGAAGAACTGAGACAAACAAAAACTTATCTGAGTAATTTATTGATGGATAGAAAGTATTATTGAAAATTTATACTATTAATTATTTATGAATATTTATACTATAAAATTTATTTTTAAAGATTAGAATTTAATGACAAAAACTTACTATCAAAATTCTTTTGCGTAATCTATCGTTAATTTATAAAAGATAAATTTATAGATGAAATTTACTCTTTATTCTGTTTTTAATTCAAATTATTAAGCCTTTTATATATTAGCGTCTTAAACCTTTTTTCTTAGATTGTTCTCATCTATATTTATTTTCCTTATTAGAGGGTACTTTATATTTAGATAATTCATAACAAATTAACTTTTATATTATTATAGTTTTTTTGAGGAGAAAGAGTTTTAAATTTCTTTTTAGTTTCACTTATTCTATAAAGAAATTTTTTAGTTTAACAGTTTAAGATCTTTCATTTTTTTAATAAGTTCTCTATTTACATATTAACTTTAAAATTAAAAAAACTTAATAAATCTATTATCATCTTTGAAAAATATTATTCAAATCCAAAGTAGTTTTATTATTTTTATCAAATAAAAATTATACTTTCATGAATTCGTTATATATTATTTTATTTAATATGAAAATTAATAAGTTTGATAATATATTTTCCAGAGTTTCATAATTACAATTTGCTGTATTTGCGATATTTTAAACATTGTTTTCTGTTAATATCTTTAAGAATTCTTCATATGTTTATAAAACTGAAAATAATTGAAATTAACATCAAATTATTTTACTTATTTATTAAAAATGTTATTTTAGTATCAAATAACTACAAAAAATTCGTTATATATAATATTGATAATGAGAGTCAAATATTAAAATTACTTCATAAAATAATTTTATAATATCAATTTAATGAGTTATAAGTTACTTATATCTGATTAATATTAATATTATTTTATAATTTCTTATTGAAAATATTTCTAAATTAACAAGAATAGAATGATATAAAAATTTGATCATTAATGTTTTTTAATAAATTATATAGTAATTAAATTCAATTTTTGTTCGTAGAATATTTATAAAATTTGAAGTACTTCGAAAAAAGCACTTCAATATTAAAATTAATGAGTGAAGAAGTATGCTTTACAGAAGTCAAACAAAGAAATAGTAGTAAGCATTTTCCATTGATCGATCTAACAGAAATCAAACCATAAGAGAATTTCTTAGAAAGCTTATGTAAGTACATCCTCGTTAATTACTAGTATAAAAAAAGTATCAACTAAACAAAAAAATATAATAATACACTTTAGGAAAGGTCTATCTAGAATCCAATAATGAAAAAGCTATCTTTAGAGTTTTTTAGGATTCTGATCTTAACATTTCTTCGATATTTTAAAAGAAATTAAACAAAACATCTGTTGATGATGATGTTATGACTACAAGTTCTTAAATTGCCAATGCGAATAGATAAAATAGGAAGGATGTAATTTTTAGAATTTTTGAGATTGAAAAACCATAACGTCCAAAATAAATTCCTTTAGAAGAAATGGAACATTCTTTATTTGGTTCTACATAAGAAAGCAATCCTTTTTTGACATAATAAATTTAGATAACCAATGCAAGTAAATTATTTTTATCATAATGAATATACAATTAATTATAAAATACTAAATTGTTGAATGAGTCAATTTTATGAAAACCAAAGTTCCAGTTAAACTTAGATTAGGTATTACTACCAATGCTATCTAAAGACAGAAAACAGCTTTGGAAAATATTATCAATTAAAAAAATAAACCAAAATCAAAATAGCCATCCAGAAATCAAATTCTTATTAAACAATCTAAACCTTAGACCTGCATAGATATATCTTAGAATAATATTTCTAGTCCAAAATAAGATTAAAATATAGTTAAAACATCTTTGCTTTAAGATATTGGCAATATTGATTTAGAAATTCAAAAAATGACACATGAATATTAAACACCTGTTAATAAAACTTTGATTAGGAATTCTAATAATGAATTTAATAATATTAAAGTTATTACTCATCAATTAAATAAAATAGATGTTACGAAGTCAGATTAGAAAATTTTAAATTCTCATGATAATTAATAAACTAAACCTAATCAATTTTCTGAAATTTCATATTCAAAATTAGCAGAATCTATGAAGAATTATTCAAACTAAAAAAAAGTAGTTGAAGTTAAAATTACAGATAAACCTAAAATCAAACCCTATAATATTCTATCAACTAAAAATTAATCTGAACTCCACATTAAATAAATTAAAACTAATGAAATTAATAACTCATAAAATTTAATGAAGTAATTTCATTTTTTTCATATTTTAGACCTGTAAAGACTAAAATTGATAGATTATCTTCAAAAATTAATTCAGAAAGAAATAAACCTTCTTAAATTAAACCAATTTTAAAGTAGACCTCTTTTCATGCATAAAAAATTTGTTCAACTTAAGTTAATTTGAATCCAAATGTAATTCAAATCTTATAATATAAGATTTCTAATCCTGTGTATAATGAAATTAAGAATAATATTAATGATGATCATAACTTAGATAAAGCTGTTAAAATTTATAATACTTTAAAACAACTAGTTAATTAAAATTCTATATTTCAACATAAAGTAAATAAATAAAAAGAACATAAAAATCAAATGCATCTATGAATTTTGACATGATTTTGATAATATTTCATTTTTAAAATTCTGTTTTAAATAATTTCTAATTTTATTTTGATTCTAATATTATAATATATTTATAAAATATTGTCCTAAATTATGAGCTTTGGACGTTATCATCCCTCTAAGTAAAATTTTGAATCTGATAACAATCATTGCAATTAAAATGGAAATAATCATGTACGTTTAAAATATGCACCAATAAAAATTATTCAAAATAAAGTAGGAAATAATTAAGAGAAAAGAAAATATCCTCCATTAAATTTGCGCTTTTAACCTGCTGACGAAATTCCAGTAAAATTATAATTTAAGATAGAAACGTTAAGATTTAACTGTGACCATTCCTCTAAGTTTTCTATAATAATTAATTCAATAGGCTTATTCAAATAAATAATTAAGGAGAATTAATAATCCTTCAATTAGAATTGAAGAAAATAGAAATGATGCGGTGGAAGAGTTAATAAAATAAATAGAAATTTAATAAAAAGGAATTTACTTTATTGATGGTATTATAATATTATTATATTTTATAACAGAGGAATAAAAAATTCAGAATATGCTTTTATAAAACCATATGAATTATATGCTTGAAAATGTAGAAGCAAAAGAAATAGTTGATAATTTCTTTCAAGAAAATATTAACTTAAAACCACATTTCTGGAATTGGCTAAAATAATTAGAAGTCAAATCTATTCAAGATATGTATTTTTTATGTCATTGTGATCCAAAAGGATAATAATAATGCTCAGATATGTTTAAATTATTATTTTAAAAACTCTCTCTAGAATTTTATTCTAAACATGCTTATGCGTAAATATTAAGAAGTGATTTAACAGAGAAATTAAAATATTTATCCTAAATTGGAGAAATTTTTAATAAAATAGCTAAACCATAAGAGTTTTATTATTTTAAATCAAGATTATATGAAACTACATGAGCTTAAATTGTTTTTCTGTATATTAGTTAATAAAATAATATCAAAATACGTATCCTATTCCTTAAACAGACAATAGAAACTATTCTTTTTTATCAGTTTCTTATAATTCTATTTAACATTCAGGTAGGAATTATCTGATGACATATATAAGAGAATGGGTGTGTAAAGATGGTTTTCCAATTAAAATTTCAGATTTTCCTTCTGCTAAAGCCATTAATAAAATAAGTTAATCTTAATGATGTTCATCAAAAGAAGTTTAATTTTGTAAAAATTATTTAGCTTAATTTATTACCTGATTAACTGTTTCATCAATAGTTTTGTCTTAATCATTAATAGATGTAAAATCATAAGAGTTTTTAGATGAATGACATAGAAGAGTTACTCCATAACATTTTTTAAATTTTTTTGAATTAACAACTTTTATATCACTTTTGATGGGTAAATTATTATTTTCTGAAAATTCTTTTAAATTATTGATGATTTAATTATTGAATTAAATAATTGCAGATGGAGATGGAATAAGGTAAGTGCATGTTAATTCATTAATTTTAGAATACTAAATGTTTACATAATTCTTGAGTTTTTTATTGATAGGTTAAATAGAAACTCTTACTTCACCACCACCTTAAGGATAATAGCCTTCTTTTAAAACTTCTAAATCAATATAAATTCCCATTTCTTAAATAAGTTTTAAAAAAACATTTTTCCAAGCTAATACAGTTGGACTATGATTTAAGTAAGTACCTCCTTAAATAGCCAATTGAATTGGTTTTTCAGAATTGAGTGAAATTGGCAAAAGAGATTACAAAATTAATGTTATACTTTAAGCAGTTGTTGCTTTACATATTAGGTTTTGGGGAATGAATTTTTCTAATGGTTTAAATTTCAATTCTTTTGAGCCTAAAACAACACCTTGAATATCAGCTTTGGCAAAATTACAAATCAGATTTATTTAACTTAAAAGCTAATTATTGATTCCTGGATTAGGTCGATTTGATCTAATATTAATAATTTAAAATTCCTTCTAAAAAATTACAGATAGAGCTAAAGCTGATCTAAGCATTTATCCTCCTCCCTCATATAATGATCCATCAATAATTGTAATATTATTTTAAATCATTTGTAATAATTCTTCAATAATTAAATTTATGTTTAAAATATAAAATAAGATTTTTATTAATTCATATCTAATTAATAACGCGCTATGTAAATGTAATCTTTTTGAATCATTTTATAAATATATATATCAATGGATTCTAAATTTGATTGTAATTAAACCAAAAAGAAATATGCTATAATAACACATGCTGTTAGGATGGCATTTATAAAAAGAGTTCAATCAAAACAAACAACTATCAAGTAAGCAGCTTAAGAATTTGGAATTAAGTTTAGCACATCTAAAGCTATATTATAGACTTACAAATAAGAAGGAAGAATAGGAAAGAAAAAAACAAGGTTAAGAAAGGGCCCTTCCAAAAATTAATCAAAACAGGAAAATCAAGATCAAAAATAAAAAATAATTGATTCCAATGATTAATAATCACATTCAAAACCATTGACAATCGATTTAAATTAGTTGGCTCTTTAGAAGTAATAAGCCTTATAATTTCAAATATTTTAATTAAGTTTGAATATGAACCCATATTAACTTTTACACTAGTAAATATTTATCATTAAAATTAGAAACCTCTGTTTTCAATAAAATCTCTAACAAGATCCTATTCTAAGCCTTTTAAATTATTAGGCTATGATGCACAATACTTTTAGAACACGAACTTTCTCAGAATAATCTGGAAAGATACTGGAATAAAAATAAATGATAAATCCTATTCTATATAGTTAATGTTTGAGTTAAAAATTGAATGAAATAGGAACAATTTGAAGGACTTCAATTGAATTATAAAATAATGTATTATAAATTGACATTCATTAATTAAATCCTCTTTTTACATTTATTTAATTCATAAATTATTTTTTTTTTTTTAATGGGAAGTGATTCGTCAAAAATAATGAAACCAGAAGAAATTGAAAGCCAAAATCCAGTAGTAGTTTACGGTTCAGATAATTGCCCATATTGTTTTAAAGTTAAAAAGATTTTTGAAGAACTAAAAGTTCAGATTGATTATAGGAATGTTGATGAGAATAAAAAATATGATGAAGAAAAATAAAAATTGATGAACTTTTTAAAATATGATACTATTCCTTTAGTATTTATAAAGAAGTAATTTATTGGTGGTTGTTCAAATGTTAAAGAATTAGAGGCAAAAGGTGAACTCTTAAGTAAATTAGCATGATTGATGTTAAATACATATAATAATAACAATAATCATTTTCATTTATTATATATTAAAATTAGAAATAATTATAATCAATTAGCTACTAGTCTTGCAAAGCTCAACTAATCTAAATTTTTATTTTCTATTTATTCTTCTTTTGATATAATAAAAATTTAGTATGAAATTTTCTTTGTAAAAACCAAAAATAATTTCTCAATATTCTTGGGCATTTTTTTTTTAAATTTAACCTAATCATTTTTAATAAGAGGTATAACTTCCTTTAAATAATTATTAATAAATTAGTGTCGTTATTTTATTAAATATGAAACACATCTTAAAGAATCAAATTAAGTCCAGCTTGACTTAGATAAATCATTATGATATACCATCATTTGAAAATATTCAGAAGAATAGATATGCAAACAAAATTTTATCCAATAGCGAAAATAAGATTTCATTTTTAAGTAAATTGAAAAAAATGAATGTGAAAATCATTAAAAAATGAGTTAAGTCACTTAATAAGAGAAAGAAAATAATAAAGAATTTATCAAATCCAAAATTACAATTTAATTCTTAAAAATTGGTGTAAAAACCATTCTGTAAAACTGAAAACATTTTAGCAATTTATACAAAAAAAAATAAGAATAATAATCAAAAGAAATAACCGAAAATAATGTAGATTTGAATTAATTATGTAATTAAGAAATTTAGATTGGAAATTTTAAATTAGCATCAATATTGGGATAATGTTCTTATGCAATAGTAAGGTTATATATTGAAAAAAATAGTTTCGTTAAATATGCTATAAAAATATATGATACAAATAAAATAAATGACAGTCAAAAAATGAATAATAAAAAAAGAAAAATTTCAATATTAAAAAGAATCAATCATAGTAATGTCATTAAATTAATTTATACTATTGAGAATAGAAAATCAGTATGAATTAATTTACAGATATTTCATAAAAGGAATTTTGTTAGATCGAATTCTTTCCTAGAATATTCTTTTAAAGGATAAAATGAAAAAGAATTGTATGAAACAATACAATAAAATAAAATGAAGTTGCCAAACGAAATGAATTAAAATATTGCTTCCATAATTAAGGGGTTATTTAGAAAAAAATGTTAATTAAAGGTTACTATAGATTAAATATTATATAATCCTTTATTTAATAAACTGTAAATGTATATGCATTAAATTGATAAAAGTAATCAGCTATCAACTTTCTGTTTGAAATTAAATTTGAGATGATGTAAAATTGTCACTTTTATGGAGAATCTATATTATAAAATTTAGAAATTACATCTTGATACTTTTTTTTAATATTTCTCCTTAAATCAGGTAAAGTAGATTTAAAAAAATAGATTTATTTTTATTTTAATTATCTTTCTCTAATTAAATTGAGTTTTTCATTAAATTTTTCATCTTAATTCAGATTTTTAGGAACTTTTGTTTAAGTAGGTGGAAAATTGATTTCTGGTTTATATGAAAATTGAGAGTCAATTTCTTATATTTTTTCTAATTCTTTTTTTAGATTAGCATCATAAAATTGTTATTTCTTTTTCAAAAAGTTTTCCTGTTCACTCAAGAAATGCTCAAATTATTCTGCAGTACTATTGTATTCTTAAATATAAATAAATAATACTTTTAGATAATTCTAATTCTTATTAGAAAGCCTTTTCTTTTTCATCAATCATTTATTTTAATTTTGCATTTTTTAGTTTTATTTCATATTCATATCTCAAATGAATTGGAATTGATGTATAATCAGATTTGCTACGAGTTTATCTATGAGTAGATTCAATAGATTCTGATTATATTTAATTACTCAATTTATATTAAGTTGACTTATCATTTATATTTTCAGGTTTGTCTTCAATTTCCTCTTCATTTTCTATAATAACTTTTTTTCCTTTCTTTAATTTTTCAAGTTTTATTAGAGATGGATAATCATTTGATATTTAAGTGAATTAATGTTTGAATTTAATAAAGCTATTCAATTCTAAATGATGCTTTAATCCTGAATCAAATATTTTAAGAGTTTCTTTTGTTAATTCAGGTTTGTCACTAATTTTATTCTTTTCTTCAATTTCCTTTTTTTCTTGTTCCTCTCTAATTTTCTGTTCTTTTTTTTTCCCCCATTTCAGTAATCTGTCTATCACTTCTTGCTACTCAGATTATGACTATGCTTGTTTATTTTCAATAGTAAACTGAGATACAGTACTAATTAAATCCTTTTCCTTAATATTATATTTCTGGAAAGGGGATATACTATGTGTTGAATTTTTGAATTTCTAAAATACTATAGATTATTTCTTATTTACATTATGATGAAGAATTTTTAGTGTAAGGTGAAGCAGATGTCTATGTTGTACATTTTTTCAAAAAATCTTAAATAAAAAAAGCTTTTACTTTAACTTATTTTTGTTTCTTCTTATTCTTCTTTAATAATATCATTTTTTTATAAATTAGATGTCTTTTATTTGAAGTAAGATTATTAAGAAACCTTTCTTAAATTCATGAAAAGTAATAAAATTTATTATTAATAATTTAGTTACTTAATGTATATTATTGCTTTATTTAAAATTAAAATAAAAAAAAAGAAAAGTTAATATATTATATAATCATTTTTATTTCTTTTTTTAAACTTCTACATCTTTTCTGAATATATATATTTCATAACATCTGCTAAACCATCAAATTTAAATCAAATTTAGCAAATATATTTTGAAATTAACAAATGCTTATCCTTTTGCAATCAAATGTTTTTTACCAATTCATAAAATTTATATATATAAATTCTTCTATTTCATTTTTGTAAATGATCTCTAATAATAAATCTCTTGCAGTATGACCAATTAATGTAAATTTTTTTTTATTTTATTTTCTGAGTTTGTGATTGTTAAATTAATAAAAAGGCTTAAATTGAATATTTTTTTTTGCAAGTGATGAGTTAAATTTAGTTTTGAATTCAATTAATAAGCCTTCAAGTAAATATTTAATCTAATTTTCTACATCATATTTTAAAATTCATTTGTGATATGGATTTTGATTGTAAATTAAAGAATGAGATAGAATCATAAATATTAAATTATCTCTATTTGCTGAAATCTATTAGTCACAAATGGAGAGAAATTAAAAAATTTTAGTTCTTTTTTCATATCCTGAATTTAATAATATCTAAATAAATCAGTATATAATTGTTAAAATTTTTGTTTTGCAATTTGAGGATACAAAGAACAAATAACAAGATTAAAAAATTGACCTTAAATTAATTACATTTCCAAATTATAAAAAATTCCAAAATTCATCAAATAATATTTGGCCATTTCTTCTTTGCTGATTTTTTAATTCAATTATTAAGCTACATATATAAAATACACATCCACATCTATCTTTATTAAAATTTTTAAAAACTTAATTTAACTCAGTTTTGCTTTATCCTTTCATTTAAAATCAAAACATTATTTATAAAAGATAACCAGTTATACATAAAGATAAATAAACATAAAAAAAACATTTTAATTCAATTTAATCATCCAATATGAGGAACTTAAATAACTTGTCCTTTTTAATTATGAAAAATTCTCACTCTATCTATCCTATAATCCATAGTTACAATTGAACCTTCAGGTAGTACTGATATAATTAAATTTGGTTGGTCTTTTTTTATTATTTGAATAGCTTGTTAAATTGATTTTCCCACACATTCTGGCCAAGATGTTTTTTAATTATTTTTAATCCCATTATAATTTAATTTTATATTTGATATATTTGGTTATTCTATATCTTTTAAGCCCAATTTAATACTAATTTCATATATCTCTTAACCTTAATTTAATTTGATTACATCTTAATGAACTTTTGCAGCTTTATTAAAATTATATAATTCTTCCTCTTATATTTAATCATATGGTCTAAGAGCAGCATATAAATAAGTTTAACATGCTTCATTTGGAGTGAGTAGAAATGGAGACATAATAAATTTCATTATTTAAACTAAAAATCTCAAAATGAATTAATTTTTAAGACTTTTTTCAAAAATTTCTGTTTTTACAGCTCCAGGAGCCAAAAGTAATACTTTTATATTTTTGTTTTATTCTTTGAGAAATTATTATAAAAATAAAGATGAAGATACTTTGAAATATTAACTTATAGCATATCGATAATCTAGATCTCCTTTAAATGCTTTAATTATATCAACTTTATCTTTAATCCAAGTATACATATGACTAACAATATTAATTATTCTTCCTTTCTCATTAAATAAATCTATGAGTTAATCTGTTAATAAAACCCAACCTATCTAATTAACTTTTACTATTTTTTCAATGCCATTTACATATTCTATATCATAATCTGCAATTCCTGCATTATTAATAAGAATATCAAGATATTTAAACTACTTTTTAAATTATTCAATAAAAGATAATATACTTTCAGATTTCTCTAAGTCTAATTCAATAAAGTATAATTTATTGTTTTTTGTTTGTTTAATTAATTCTTCAATTATTTTTTCAGTTCCATCTTTATCCCTACAAGCAAATATTACAGTAGCTCTTAAATTTGCTAATTCTTTAGCAGCTTCTAATCCTATTCCAGATGATGCTCCAGTTATTATAATAATTTTATCCTCAATAATTTCATAATTTCTTATTTCTCCAACCATTAAAGAATGAATTATTTTACCATATATTAGGTAAAAAATAATCCCAAAGAATAAAATAAATTTTTTTCCTTTCATAATATAGTTTAAATAAAATATTGAAAATTAATTCAATAACAATTTTTTTCTATTATTTCTCACCTTAAAATCACTGTTATTTCAATTTGCATTTTATTTTATACAAAATTAAATAAAATATGTTGGACTGAATACTTTGAAATGAATTATTAAAACATTCAATTTAAAATAAATATTTCTTTTCTTTGATTATATATACTCTATAAAAATGAAAAAAATTTTGAAATTAATATTTCTGTCACTATTTTGTTTCATGCATTTAAAATTAGAATAAATTAGATAACTTTTTTATTAATTATGTATAATATTATATTTTCTATAAATTAATTTTTGATAATCAAAGTTGATAATAGATGTTATAATAATTAATTTAAATAATTAATGTAATAATCACAATAAGCTCATACAGCACCAATTCAATCTGCTAGTTATACAGTGACTCTATTAAAAAAATAATTAAAGTGTAATTGAATTTACTTATTTTAGAATTGGAGGAGAGTAAAACAATAGAAGGTGTTTCAGTTGGTTTAGAGGGAAATAGTTTATATTCATGGAATATTAGTTTTGCTGGTCCTTCAGATACATTATATGAAGGTGGATATTTTTAAGCTTTGATGAAATTTCCAGAAGATTATCCAAATTCCCCACCAACATTTAGATTTTTGACAGAAATGTGGCATCCAAATAGTATTTAGACTATAATTGACATTAGTATATACTGATGGAAGAGTTTGTATTTCAATTTTACATGCATAAGATGAATTTAATGATTAAGAACCACCAGAAACAAGGTATTCTCTAAAATCATAATATAAGATGGAGACCTATTTTAACACCAGAAGATGTCTTAATTTCTATAGTTTCAATGTTATCTGAACCAAACATCAATTCACCAGCCAATGTTGATGCAGGAATTCAATTCAGAGATCGACCTGATGAATATAAGAAAAAAGTGAGAAAATTAATTGATAAAGCATTAGAAAATTTATGACTGCTTATATATTAAAAACAAATAAATAAAAATAACATTTAAATTTCATTTCCATTTCTTAATTAAATTTTTTCTTAGCTTTGATAAAAATTCCATGTTTTGTTTTTCTGATTCAAAATTAGAATGATTAAGGTCAATAGAATTTAAAAATAAATCTATATTCTAATAATAATAAAATTCTTTTTATTCTGGACATTAGATAAAATGAAATTAAGGACTTCCAAAAAAATTGCATTTCTTACAAATTAATTCCCCTAATGAACTTATCATAAGTGGGCTCTAACAAAAATGAATTTATTATTAACTAGTTTTGTGATAACATTTGCTATTTAAAGGACAATAGGCAATAAAGTTTATAAAACTAATTTCCTCGGTTAAATCATTAAACTCTATTTATCTATATTATACCCACTATTATTGACAATTAACTTATAAATTGCTCCAAAATTCAGCAATTTATTCATTAATTGTCAAAGTTGATAGATGTAACCAAAAAGAGAAAAAAAAATCTTAATAATTTTTAAATTTATTTTTCTATCTATTTTAAGGGCAAAAGAATGCATAATCTTAAATTTATTATGAAAATAAGCACTATTAACACATAACATAACCTTTTGAATTTATATACAATTAACAATTGCATTAATGAATTTGCATAATTATCTATGCTGAACATAAACATTAAGGAGGACAAGCACATTTTAAAGGTAATGCTGTTTTCTTATCAACATGTACTATTGTTTTATAAGTTATGCTATGAGGAATAGGATGAGATTTCTTTTCAATATATTTTGTACTATTTGGACTTTGTATACAAGGGTGTGAAATTTACTTTTAAATTGCTGAGTTTAGTATCGCTTTTTCAGAGTTTAGAGTTTATTGAGATTAATAAAGAAAATATGATTCTATACCCAATACATCCTTTTTGCTTCCAATTTCTTAAGTTTGATCATTTGAGGTATTTAAAATATCATTAAAGTCTTTCTTATGATCGGAAAAAATTCTAGTTCTAGATGATAAAAGTACTGTTGGTAATTTTTTCAATTATACTCCCCCTTATTTATTTTACTTTTTATTTTCTATTTGAAATTTACTTTAAAATTAAATATCAGACAATTAGAATACTTTCTAAAAATCTTCATTTGATTATTACTAAAATATTAAATATTTTCTATTTATTTCAATAGCCGAGAAAAGTTGCTTTATTAAATTATCATTCGATTTGATAAATTCTTAAATTTCTAATTCTTTTTAATCCTAATTTTCTTTAACAATTGATTATATTAAAATAATATTGTTTTTTCTAATTTTATCAGTTTAATATATTTCTTTTTAAATTGATTCCATTTCTAATAAAATCTCATCTATTTATGTTTAAGTTGTTTTTAGAATATTAATAAAATTTAATAATGATTATTAAAGCAATTGCAACTGAGGATCAATTATACTATTATTTGAATTGAATAATGATAATAAATTTTCTTCAATATTTTATAATTGTTAAATTGTTGATTTAATTGAATTATGAAAGTTAGGAATCTTATACTTATTCTATCCTGTTAAATATTCAAGAACACTTGAATTATCTAATTTTTATCCAGAGAATATTAAATTATCATTCAGAATAGAATTTATAACTGTAAAGTAACTACTATTCTTAGTATGTTAATCTATAAACTTAATAAATTGAATTTCCTCTTATTATAGTTATTCATAATTATTTATGTATTCTTATTACTTTTATAATAGTTTTGATAGGTTTGAATTTTCAGTAAGATCATATTCTTTTTTAATTTTAGTCACTCTTTTTTCATTTTCTAATTTTGTTTTCCTCATTTCTTTTTGTTTATTTTTCAATTCTTTTTCAAATATCGTTGAATTTATCTGTAGGGATTTCTATATGTTTTCTTCTAGTTATTTTGATAACTCAGATAATCTATTTTATCTATCTTAGATTTTCTAAACAAATGGTTTCAATTCTTGATTAATAAGATTGGATTGAAAATCGGAGTCGATTAGATTCTTGGAGTACATTTTTAATTTTTAATTTTATGTGATAAACTTTATATATAAAATAAATCATTTCCATTTTTTATTCAAATTAATAATCAATGATTATAAAAATTAATTACAATCATTTTTTTCTTATCTTATCAATTATTTTATATAAGGATCAATTGATAAAATAAATTCTTCAACACTCTAAAATGCATAAAATTAATTATTTTCATGGCATTAAATTAAATGATATTAAATAAACATTGAGTACTGACATCTTTTACAAATAACATCTCCATAATTAGATAATTATAATGGAGTGTTACATGTAGAATGTATTTGAGGGAGAAGACTTTTATGATTGCAAAAGCTTTGATTGGGACAATTTGATTGAAAATTTACAATTATTTCATCTTATTTTATCGAAGGCAATCTTGGTGACCCATTTTACCATTATTATTTGCAATTTATAATTAGACCGATCCAAAAATCTACAATTTATTAATTTAAAGTCAAACTTATAATATATTTCCAAAAAGAATGAATAAAATCATGAAATTATTTAAACTTATTTTTAGTCTTATTAAATTAACAGTAAAATTGATGTTCATTTATTTAAAAAGATATTTAACAAACTTAACATAATAGAATTCCTTTTTAATTTATATACAATTAATTGTTGCATGTGTGTAATTATTCTTATATATATTATTAACATAAACATTCAGGAGGACAAGAACATTTCAAAGGTAATGCCGTTTATTTTTCTGGTAAAATTTAATTTCTAAAATTGGGTGATTAAGAAGTTTATTTAAAAATAGATGAGAATGATGTAATGTTATTTTCATCTGTTTTGATCGAGCCTAATTTTTCTACTTAAGGTTTTCTTCTGAAGTAAATAGATTTTTATATATTATAAGTAGAAGGCTCTGTTTAAATTTTATCATTTTAATATTTTTTATAAGGATTTTAAATATTAATCTTTTTTATTGAAGTACTTGAAGGTGTTTTAGAATCAGGAGTTAAAGAGAATGCTTCTAATTATAATCTAAATTATTCTATGCTATTATTTAAGGATTGAATTAATGAATTAGATAATGAAATTAATCTGATTATATTTTCTTCATAATCTTTTTTTTAACTATTTCCTTATAATACAATTTATGTATAAGATTTATAATTTTTATCCATATCAGATTTTAATTATTCTAATTAAATAATTTCTGCACATTTTTATTCTTCTTCTTTGGCAAAAGAATTTTAGATATTTAATCTCATATTTTTAAGGTTTCTTTAACTATTAAGAAAGTCAGATTAAAGATCAAAAACTTCTTATACACAATCATGATTAAATTATTACAGTTATCTGATTTATTATTTGAGGGAAGTGAGTTTTTATGATAAAATAATTTAGATTTATGAATTTTCAGATTAGTTATTTAAAATTTATTAATCACCATATTCAATTTTTGTAATGAGTGTGTTGACATATGAATTTAAATGAGACATTTTTTAATGCTATTTAGTGTGAACATTAGGAGATTTTAAAGATAAAAATGTTTACTAATTAATACATTCATTATCTTTAGCTAATTCAAAATCAGATAATGATTAATGAACACTTTGCAAAATTAAAATGTAATCTCCATCAATTTAATCTCCAACTATTAACTCTTCTAATTTAGTTTTTTCTTAGGCTATTTTATCATAATATTTTTGAAAACGTATGAATACATTGACTATTTTATTTTTAAGTTCCATTTCTAAATTGTTGTATTCTTCATCCTGTTTAGCCTTTTACTCTTCTGACCTTGATTTTAACTCTTAAAGTTCGATTCTTTTCTTAATAATATCATCTTCATATTTTTAATAACAAATTTTGATGATTTTTTACACAAGTTCACTTTATAATAATCTTGTGTCATTATAAGATTTTTATTTATCTTGAATATTCGTCACAAGCTTCTTTAGATCTTCTTAATAAAGTTCTTTTTAAAAATCTAAATCTAATATTTATCTAGTATTTGCTGATTATTGCATTATAAGTAATTTAAAAATAAATTGTTATTAATTTATACAATAAGAAATCACTGGAGGAATAACGCTACAGAATAATATAAGATATTAAATGGTAACATTATAATTTAATTTAACTTTTGTTAATGGAAGAATGACAACTATAAACAAATATTATTATTATATTTAATTAGATATTGATTGAATTTTTTAAATTGAATATAAATAATTATAAATCTTTAACATTAATAAGTATAAGTAAATAAATGTCGACGAAATTAAGAGATTTGATAAGAAATATAAGATCATGTAAAACAGCTGCAGAAGAGAGAGCATTAATAAAGAAAGAATAAGCATTAATAAGAGAATCATTTTCAGCAAATGAATCAGAATATAGACCTCGAAATGTAGCAAAATTACTTTTCATTTCAATGTTGGGTTATGAGACTGATTTTGCTTAAATGGAATGTTTACATTTAATAACAGCTAATTCATATAATGAAAAGAGAATAGGTTATTTGGCATTAACTTAATTATTTAATGAGAAAAGTGAAGTATTAATGATGGCCACAAATCGTATTAGAATAGATTTAAATAATCCATCTAATTATATAGTATCATTAGCATTAATGGCATTAAGTGAAGTATGTACTAGTGAAATGTGTAGAGCATTATCAGGAGAAGTATTGAAATTATTATAGAATGGCACAGCATATATAAAAAAAAAAGCAGCTTTAGCAAGTACTAGAATAGTTACACGTGTTCCTGAAAAAATTGATGAATTTTCATAAAAAGTTGAATTATTATTAGATGATAGACATCATGGAGTATTAGTTGCCTCTTTACAATTAGCATAACATATATTTGTCATATAACCTGATTAAAAATAACGATTTTAAAAATTTGTATAGCCTATGGTTAGAATATTCAAATCTATTTATTCAACATATTCAGCTGAATATGATATAGGAGGAGTATCAGATCCATTTTTATAAATTGAAATTCTCAAATATTTTAGAATCATGTGTTAAGGAAATTTATAATTATCTGGAGAAGTTTCAGATATTCTCACTTAAGTAGCAGCTAATACAAATAATACTAAAAATTCAGGTAATGCTGTTTTATATGAATGTGTTAAAACCATTTTTGGAATTGAATCCTCTAGTACACTTAAAACTTTAGGAATCAATATTTTAGGTAAGTTTTTATAAAATAAAGATGCTAATAGTAAATATATCTCTCTTTATATGTTATAAAAAGTATTAAAACATGATCTTTAAGCAGTTCAAAAGCATAAATAAACTATTCTAGAATGTTTAAAAGAAAATGATAATTCAATTAAAACTTTAGCATTAGATCTTCTCTATGTAATTACTAATGAAACTAATGTAAAAGGCATTGTTAAAGAGTTATTAAATGTATTACTTAGTCTAACTGAAGAGGATGCTGATTTTACTAAAGAATTGACTAATAAAATTTGTTAAATTGTAGAAAAATACGCTCCTTCTAGAAGATGGTATATTGATACTTTCATTAAAATTTTGATTTTGGCTGGAAATTATGTTGAAGAAGATTCAAGTTCATCTTTGATTCATTTAATTATAGGTACTCCTGAATTATAAAGTTATGCTATTCATAAATTATTTTTCTCATTATAAGAAAACTTAAATCAAGAAGGATTAGCAAGAACAGCAGCATATTGCATAGGAGACTTTGGTCATCTTTTATTGAAAGGAGATGCAACAGCAGTTGACAATACTCCAATTTAAATAACAGAAGAAGAAATACTTGATTTACTTAAAAAATTAATAGAAAAACCAAATTAAAAGAATGTAATCAAAGAATATGTTTTGTCAGCTCTAATTAAATTATATCCTAAAGTCAGCAACTCTTAATAACTAATAGCAAACTTAATATAATCTTAGATTAATTCTACATCAATAGAAGTATCAAAAAGAGCTTCCGAATATTATGGTTTATTAGATTTACAATGGGACTAACATAGAGCTGGTATTTGTGAATAAATACCTCCTAGTGATTCCCATAAATCAATATATGAAAATAAGCCAATAGGTGATGTGGAATATGATGAATACCCACCAGCCAAGACAGAATTAGAATAAGCTAAACCTGTAACCAATAATGAATCAACACGAATTTATGGTTTTGATATTGATAATCTTATAGGAAATCAAGATTAGAATTAATCTAAATAATAAACTTAAGTTACAAATTAATTACCTGGGGATTTATTTGATCCATTTGATATAACATTAAATTTATCTGGAACATAAACATAATCATAGCCTGCATCATAAAACTTTAATTAATTGACAGGAATAGGGGAATTATAAATTAAGTAAGAAACATAATAATATTAATAATAATAATAATAACCTATAAATCTTTTATAGAATTTATATAATTAAAATATAAACTTACATTAATAATAATAATTTCCATTCTAATAGTAATAATAATAATAATTTCCATTCTAATAATAATAGTAATAATAACCTTTAGTTAATTTACCTGGTGATATATTTGATTTAAATCTCTAACCATTATAATAAAAATCATTACCATAAACACTTCCTAATTTAATGTAATAATAATAACCAATTATATAACCATAATAATAATAATAATAGATTATTTAACCATAATAAAATGAATAAAAATCCTTAACTTAATAAGCTATAGCTTTTGATGATGGTGCTTTGTAAATAGAATTTAGAGCAGTGAAAGTAAGAATTGATAAGAAATATTTTAGGAAACCTTTGATCAAACAAATATTACAGCATATTTCAACAATAAGACAGCTAGTCCAATAACAGAATTGTAACTCTCTTTTGCAGTATTAAAGTATATGAAATTACAATTGACATAACCCACTTCATCAACAATTAGTGGTAATAGCTCTGGTTAGGTGATATCGGTATTTAAGCATTTATAATTTTAGACTCTAAAAATAACTAATTCTAATTAAGGACAAAAGGGGATTGTAATGAAAATAAAAGTTTCTTATAAGATAAATGGTTTAATTATAGATAAGGAAGTGACATTCAATAAATTTCCTCCAGAATATTGAAATATAATGAAATATCAATAATAAATTATTTTCTGTAAATTAAGAAATGAGTTAATCATTTTTTTAATATTTATTAAATAAAATAAAAGAAAAATGTTATTTAGATAAAAAGAAAGAGTACCAGATGTTGGGAAAGATAATTTTAGAGAATTTATGAGAAGAGAAGATGATTCCTGTATGAACACTTAAAATATATTACCAACTTTTAGTAATAGCACAATTTAAGCTTAAACAAAGCAATCGTAAATATTGTGAAACTTAATTAAGTCAAACACCGTCAGCATTAGATGGTTCAATAAAAATGTTAGGAAATACTTGGGATGCATAACATTTAGGCAAGTTTTTACAACATAGTTAATTTGCATAATAAGGTGTTCGAACTATGAAAATGGAAGATAATCAATAAAATATGACTCTAAAAAATTAAAGTTTTTATTTTAGAAGTCAATAACCTAGATTAATTGAAGATAATGTAGATTATTTGCATTAACATCCAATTAATCATTTAATAACATAGCATCCTTTATAATCAACTAGTTAATCTTTTTTAAAAAAAAAATTATTATAAATACCAGAAAAGTAATATGATGAAACAAAAATAAATTATTAAACTTAACCACAACTTAAAAGACCTGAAGAATATCGTAAAGATTTATAAGAAGCTAAATTAAATTAAGTTAAATATCATTAATGGAGATCTTAATATTAAGATGTTAATAAAGCATATAAGAAAGCTAAATTAGGATTTAAATCAGGTTTATTTGCTTTAGATAATCCAACTAATGAATAAACTGAATTATATAGAGAAGAAAATGAAAAACTTAGAAAATAGGAAGAACAAAAAACTACTCAACATTTAAAGAGATTTAAGTGTAAAATAGTAATATTACACATATAGCACTTGAAAGATTTAATTGTAGTAATCCATCAATAGAGTTTGACAATGTTAGACATATACAAAATAAACCTAATCCAGAAGATCCTTTATTACATTAAGGATAGTTCCCTTCCAGGAATTTTGAGATTCATAAAGATTGGATGAAAAAAAGATCAGGAAATTCAAATTTTGATACTTAAAATAGAATATTTGGAAAAACAGATAATGATAGAAAAGTCAATACATTTAGAGCTTAATATTTAAAAAATCAAGAAATGAGAGGAAGAGAATATAATGCTATTACATTAGTGAAGGAATGATAAAATTTTTAATTTATTTTAAATGTTAACAGATTGTGATTTTTATAGCAAACAAAGTATTTCAGAATTACAAGCATAATTGGCACATAAAAAGAAAAAGATTCAAATCTTAAAATAAGAAAAGAATTCTATGTTGAATCGTATTGATGAATTGAATTAAAAAGTTCATGATTAAGCAGAAGAATTCAAAAAGTAAAGATTGAAATTTAAAGGTCTTGAAAAATAACACTCACATGTAATCAATAATATTCATAATAATAGTTAAAACATTAGAATGAAAATTTAAAAAAAGACTAAAGTGTGAATAATGAAACCATTACATTGTTTTAAAAAGGTTTCAAAAGAGATGAATTCAAAAAGCATGAAAGAACAGTAGCACAATTATAAAATGATATTATTAAATTATCTAATGCTTTGGAAGAACATAAAATAGTTAGAGAATCAAATAGTGAAGAAATAACTAGATAATTAATTTATATTTAAGAATTAGAAAATCAATTAAACTCATATAAATCAATGACAGAAGATGATTAATTAAAATACAACAATTAACAACTTTATTAAACTATTGAAGATCTTAATTATCAATTATAGTCATCAAATAAAAAGAAAGATGAAGATTATTAAAACTAATTATAAGAATTACAATAAATTGCTGATATTAATAAATTAGAAAATAAAGAACTTAATTTAAAAATTGCATAATAAGATAAACTTTATTAGATGCAGATCTAAAAAATAATCAAATTATGTGAATCTGTTCACGATGAATTGTCAAATAAAGTATCAAATAAAGCAGAAGTAAAAGAAATTTTAACAAAATTGATTATCTCTAAAAAAGATATTGATCTTGATTTACTTAAGTATTACTTTTAATTTAAACAATAGAATTGAATCTGAAATAAATAGTTAAATTTGCGAAGAATTATAAAATAAAGTTGATAATTTATCAAATGAAAATTAAAATATTAAATAAAAATTTTAAGCAACTTCAACAAATAAAGAAGCTTTATAAATGAGAGAATAGGATTTAATTCATTAAATTGAAAAATTATAAATATAAGTTGAAAGATAAAAAGAATTGAACTAAATGAGATAGAAGACAATGTCTGAGTAAATATCAGCTTTATAGAGAAATAACAAATAATTGAATTAAGATTTAGATAAAATAACCAAAGAAGTTTAAGACTTAAGGGAAGAAAAGGTTATTTTATAATAAACAATTCAGAGATAAGAGAAAAAGATATAAACACTAAGTTTATCTAAATATAAATGATAATTTTGCTGATTAATTAAATTTGATTATATTATAAAATCATTCATGTTTTTCCTTATTGTTTTTTTTCTTTGAATCTTCTTGATAAAATGTACATTTTAAATTGAGTTTCTATTCTAGTTTCAATTGATAACTATCTGCATAAGCAATTACTTTAAATTCAAATTCAGTTATATTTTTCTATTCAAATTAAGCTGGAATTACTCGGAAAATAACAGATTTGCTTTCTGTATCCTCTTTGATCTATCTAGATCCAATAATCAAATTATTATAAAACAACAATATATTCCATTAATTCTATTTTAACACTGGAAAAGTTTGACTTTAAATGAATTAATCTACCAATCCACTTAAATGACATTTAATTTCAAATAAATCTGTATTTCTATAATCATCCTCAGTAAGAGTTTCTTCTGCTGTTTTAATTGTGGCTTCTAATTATGGTTTCCCTGGATGATTTAAATTAGATTTATGCTAACAAATATAATCAAATTAATACTTGAATAATTTTAGGTATGGATTCAATCTAAGTTACAATTTAATCAGTAATTTCTCTGATTTACCGTAAATCATAATGTGCCCATAATTGTGTTAAGATTTATAAGCAAATCTCAATACTCATATATAAAATTCCAGGGGCGTGTTCACATTGAATTCCAGTGATGAAATCTTTATCATTATCAATTTCATCACAATTTTAGATAGTTTCTAAACATTCTTAATATGTTTTATTTTTTCCTGCAGTAATTCTTTCTGCTAAATATTTTTTATTTGACATTAGAATGCCATTGACATCATATTTACCAAATCCCGAAAAGGCTGTGCAAAATGTTATTAATATAATGATGATAAAAGAAAGAAATAATCCAGCCAATAGAAATCCTTGATTTTCTTTTGAAATTGCAAATTCAGGTAAAGCAATACCAATTTAGAATCCAGTAAAACCATCAGGATTTCCATATTTTTTACAATTAGCAATTTTACTTGGATCAGTTAGACATTAATAAGCTTTAGTGATAGTATCAAATAATTTTGAGTATTTCTAAGTTTCATCTGGATGTTTATCTGGGTGATATTCTCTTGCTAGTTGTCTATATGCTTTTTTAATTTAATCAACGGGTGTATATGATTTTACACCTAATACTTCATAAGGATCAAAGCCCTTGATTAATTTAGAATCAGGTAATTATTGATACGTGTTAATAAAGATCATCATTAAGATAATCCAAAAAAACAATTTCCAATAGAAACTTTTCTTTTTATAGAATAGATTTCTTTGGATGTCGATTTCAATAGCTTTTTTAGCAGTAGATGGAGCTTTTTTGTATTTCGGATTATATTTCATGGATGAGAGCGGTTGTTTGATTAGGGTATAAGTTAGGGGTAAGATGGCAATAATTATAATAGAAATTGCGAAATAAAGAAAGGCGAAATCACTAGGATCTAATTCTTGATCGCTCATATAAATATTAATATTAATATATTTATAGGATTGTATATAATAAATAATTGAGAATAATAATTTGGGTAATGTAAATATTTAGATATTATATTGTTAATATAGAAAGAGTATGTATGAATATAAAAAATAATAATTGGTATTAATTAAAAATATATTTTTGAATTCTGGAAAATTCTGTTTTCGAGAATTAATAAATTCTAGAAAATAGAAAGTTAGGTCCTTTAAAGCTGATGATAGAGAAGGTGAATTGAATTAATAAATAAAAAAGTTAGAAAGTAAAAAGATAAGATGTCAAAATCAAACGAAACAGCAATAGGAATAGATTTAGGAACAACATATTCATGTGTAGGTGTATTTATAAATGATAAAGTGGAAATAATAGCAAATGATTAAGGAAATAGAACAACTCCATCATATGTAGCATTTACAGAGAATGAAAGATTGATAGGTGATGCAGCAAAGAATTAGGTTGCTAGAAATCCTTAGAATACAGTTTTTGATGCAAAAAGATTAATAGGAAGAAAGTTTAATGATCCAACAGTATAGAAGGATATAAAATTATGGCCATTTAAAGTAGAAGCAGGAGCAGATGATAAACCATTAATAGTTGTTAAATTTAAGGGGGAGACAAAGAAATTTCATCCAGAAGAGATATCATCAATGGTGTTAACAAAAATGAAAGAGATAGCAGAAGCTTATTTAGGAAAATAGGTTAAGAATGCTGTAATAACAGTACCAGCATATTTTAATGATTCATAAAGATAAGCAACAAAAGATGCTGGTTTAATTTGTGGATTAAATGTATTAAGAATAATCAATGAACCAACAGCAGCATCAATAGCTTATGGATTAGATTAGAAAGTAAAAGGTGAGAAGAATGTATTAATATTTGACTTGGGAGGTGGTACATTTGATGTTAGTTTATTAACAATAGATGAAGGTATATTTGAAGTGAAAGCAACATCAGGTGATACACATTTAGGAGGTGAAGATTTTGATAATCGTTTAGTTGAATATTGTTGTGTAGAATTCTAGAAAAAGAAAGGAATAGATTTAAGATCAAATGCAAGAGCATTAAGAAGATTGAGAACATAATGTGAAAGAGCTAAAAGAATATTGTCATCAGCAAATTAAACAACAATTGAATTAGATGCATTGGCTGAAAATGAAGATTTTAATTGTTCAATTACAAGAGCTAAATTTGAAGAGTTATGTTTAGATTAATTTAAGAAATGTATTCCACCAGTAGAATAAGTACTTAAAGATAGTGGTATGTCAAAAAGCTAAATTCATGAAGTAGTACTAGTTGGTGGATCAACAAGAATTCCAAAAGTATAAGAATTATTAAGAGATTATTTTAATGGAAAAGAATTAAATAAATCTATAAATCCTGATGAAGCAGTTGCATATGGAGCAGCAGTATAAGCAGCTATATTAACTGGAACTGGATCATAAAAATGTGAAAATCTAGTTTTATTAGATGTGACACCATTATCTTTAGGTATTGAAACAGCTGGAGGTGTTATGAGTGTTTTAATCCCTAGAAATACTACTATTCCAACTAAAAAAAGTTAAGTCTTTACTACTTATGCAGATAATCAACCTGGAGTTTTAATTTAAGTATATGAAGGTGAAAGATAAATGACTAAAGATTGCCATAAATTAGGATAATTCTAATTAGATGGTATTGCGCCTGCACCTAGAGGTGTACCTTAAATTGAAGTTACATTTGATATTGATGAAAATGGTATCATGAATATACTTGCTGAAGATAAAGCTTCTAAGAAAAATAATAAAATCACTATTACAAATGATAAAGGAAGATTATCTAAATAAGATATTGATAGATTAGTTAATGAAGCTGAAAAATATAAAGCAGATGATGAAAAAATTAAATTAAGAATTGAATCTAAAAATAATCTAGAATCAACTGCTTATCATATCAAAAATACTATTAATGATGAATAATTTAAAGATAAATTCACTTCTGACGAAAAAAGACAATTGACTGATTTAGTTGAATAGACATAAAAATGGCTTGATTCACATTAAAATGAAGATGCTGATACTTACAAAAATAAATTAAAAGAACTTGAATCCAAATTCCATCCAATTATGCAAAGACTTTATGCATCTACTGGAGCAGGAGCTGGTGCTGGTGCATCTATGCCTAATATGAACAGAGGATCTGCATCTGAATTCAAACCAACAGTAGATTAAGTTGACTGAAATTTATTATTATGATTGATTTATATATATATATATACATACATATTTATTATTATATTATCTCCCCTTTTTTAAACATTCATTTCATTTATCATAATATTCATCTCATTTCTATCACTCATTCTCTCATTACCACTTTACTTGATATCATTCATTTCTTAAGTAAACATCTTATAAATATTTAATATATGATAATTTTTATTTAAAATGTTGTAATATGATACAGACTTCGGCAAAATTTTTTACTGTATCTATACACTTCATAAAAGCCAATTGATTTGCTTAGATCGAAAGTCCAAACTAAAGGGTTTTATACTTTATTCACAATAGATATGCTTATTACATTCGATGATAAAATGATGGCTTTATTAACTAGTCTCCCCTAATTAAATGAACACTAAGTTTAAGAACATCTTCTCCTGATTGCTGATTCTTAATAAGATTCTAATCCAAATATCGATTTCGAATTATCTGAAGAAAACTTCTCTATCAAGTCTTCTCATACCTAACAATAGTAAACAAGGGCTCTCAAACCAAAATAAATTATTATCGAAAAAAGCACTTTTAAATTAGTTAATAAAACATAATTACAATATACTGCAAGATCTTCTAAAAGAACAGCCACATAAAAACTAACATGAATTCTATTCATTCAAATTTTTAGATTAAACAAATTTATATTTGACTTCACTTACCCATTTCTTATTTTTATTAAATTTGCCTACATAAATTATTTTCATTATCATCTAATTTATTATCAAATATTATCATAATATCCTTTTTTTACTTTTACCATTTTATTCTTTATATTATATAATTCTCCAAATCTAATATTTAATTATTACTAAACTCTCAATACACCACCCTAATTATCTATTTACATAATCCTATCCTTAACCTCATTTCTCATCAATTCATTTCACAATTTCTCAATCAAATAAATCTCTTTTTTATTATGTTTATTCATATATTTATTATTTCGCTTCCTCATTAATATCAATTAATTTAACATTATAACTTCTGTACTAATTATATAAAATTTTATATTATGTTAGATTAAATCGATGAGTCTATTGATATTTCAATCAAAATGTAATCTCTCAAACCATTAAGTATTATCTGATCTTATTTAGATCGCAGTCCTGAATAAAAGGTTAGTTTATTAAAGCTAAGGAAAAATTCAAAAAGTTTCGGAAATTGCACCACTGAAAAAATAATTACGATTTATTGGTATGATCAAGAACATGATTACACCCATGAATTTTCATAAGGTTTTAGTGAAATCTTGTGTCTAGGAGATATTTGTAATTGGGCAATTTTGAAGTTAAAAGAAATGAATCTACCAAAAATTCATATCGAATAAACTAAATTGTATTTACCTAAAAAAAAATAAGGTAAACCTAATGAAGATTTTCCATGTACTTTTTTTATTTATTTTCAGCATTCAGAAATGAACTCTAACTCAAAGATTGTGATCAAACTAAATTTTCCATTAAAGTTTCATTTTTAGCACGAGAAGTTACTCCTCCATAAAGAATCTAACCTCGTTCATCATATAGTAACTCTCTAAATAAAGAAAAACGAATACCAATAACTGAATAAAAAAAAAGTAAAAACAAAACTAGTTTCTTTTGTTTTTGTAATAATGTTGAATGAATGAACTTATATCTTTATAACAAATTAGATCACAATAATAATTATCATAATACTTCATGGCTATTTGGTATATTTTTAGCATCCTCTAACTTTTAATTTTTAAAAAGAACTGGCTCTCATCTAAATTACATTAATTCTAAATATCAATATAAATTTTATTTATTATTGTATACATTTAAAAATTTTATATATATTATATTAAAAATTTTGATTTAGAAAATCTACTTCTCATTTTAATTTCTATTAAATTTAAAATCTAGATTTTAATGATATCTCATCACTTCTCTTAAATTTCTTATAAAAAAATAATTAAAATATGCATATTGATATTGGAACTAATATAAACCTTTAATTTACTTCTTTCAGCATCTCATGTCTAAGTGAAAATATTTTTACTAAATAAATATTATTTCCTTTTTAAATTAATTAAAAGGTAATACTATTTAATAAATATTATATGACACCCATAAATATAAAAAATTTTCCAAGTCACTATCCAAAAATTATGATAAAATTTCTTAATTTTATCTAAAAAGACATTATTAAAAGACCCGGTAAATATAAATAGAGCTTCATTATTTTAACCTCTCATTCATAGCTTATGTGAAAAATAAGGAATCTAAATTATAAAAATTAATGGGTTAATGAATTGTTAAACTTAATTTAATTATTCATTAAACTAATTAGAAAAAATGTCTATTTGAGTCTCTCTTTTTATTGGCTTAATTCAGAAATCTATTTATTCTGATCAAATCCGTAAATGATAATGCAGAATTTCTCATAATTTAATAATTTTACCCATTTCAACTCATTATAGATTTTTTCAAATCTCAATAAACTCCTATATATTGGTAAACCTAACATATAAATTTCTTTGGATTAAAATATTTGAAAAACAGATGCTAAAGGACTTTGAGATTATAATTATACCAAAAATAGTTCTAATATTCAACAGAAGATGAAAAAGTAAAATATAAATTTCTAAAATCTTTCATCCTCAATAATTGGAAAAAATGGAATAAACTGTTCCTTTTATTAATATAATTAAAATCCTAATATTATAATTATCTGGAAAAACGATTTTTACTTATAATAATAGGAATTCATTATTATAATCATAATATAATGTATTGATTCTCCAATCGATTAATCGCTTGAATAATAAATTATAATATATATTGTTAAACCATGTCGAATTCAGGATTGTATGAAAGTAAAACTCCTCATTAGGGATATCTTTAAATTCTTTTTTTAATTTATCAGCATGAAATGGGTGGGTTATCTAAAATTATAATGATCGAATATCTTTCTTAATCTCATGAATCAAGCATTGAAGAGGATACTGTTCAGTATCTGAATTTACAGTGCCCTCAGCAATTTAAAATCTAAGATAAATTTATGCTAATTACTTCAAGTACTATGCCTGATTTGGTTACCTTATCGTCACCTATTAGGTTACTTAAGCTTTAAGCTGCCAAATCTTGAAGGTGTTATATATTTCCTATTTGAGTTTCTTCAATATATATTAAAT